TGTGACCAAAACCACAGCATATTGTTCGTAGAAAAATATTAATAATCTTACTAAAATTCAATGGAGAGGATATGTGTGCCTTACAACATATTTCAGTGATAATCACGGAAGTGCCTATCCAATTCACATAATTTCCAATTAAACTGACTTTTGCAGTAATGATAAGCAAATTGAATACTCCAGGGTGGAGGTTTGTTATTTGTATATACAACAAATGGAATCACCAAAAATATTGTCTATCCAAGAACATTGCAATGAATTTAACACTGAATGCAACAGTAATTACAATTTAATACAATGTAATCCAAAACAAAAATAATATTGCATATGTAAATATCAAATATGATGACTAAATACAATTATTGATATCAAACAATCAATTGTGTTCATTTAATTTATATATATGCTCCTATCTAGCAATATCAATATGTGTATTCAAAGTAATTTACTAAATAACACTTTTTATTATTCCCCTGGTCAATGTCTGGTTATAAAGCTAGTTATGTATAAATGATTTTTTCTAACTTTATTTGACGAACTTCCGCGAGGGAGGGCTGTATTAACGCTATATAGCTATTTTTTGGAAACTGAAGAAAATACTGTTAATATTTTTCTCATTATGCTATTTTTTTAAGCATAACTTCAAAGAAAATTGTATTTAATGGAAAAACGGCGTAAAAATAATAATAATTTACAGCATATTTTCTTTTCAGATATGTTTTCACCAAAACCTAATAAGCATTTATGTGAAATATATCAGAACCCATTTTATACTAAAATCTTACAGTAATATTTTTCAAAATTGATTTTTTTTAAACAAGCAGGAATAAAATATTATTATTATTTGAGTGATTTATTGAAATTTTGACACCAAATAATTTAAAACCAAAAGTTTTCTAAGGTACTGATTGGTAAAATAAAAAAAATCTAAAACGAATATAAACAGCAAAAATAGGCCAAATGATCAAGGATAATCATACATGTTATTTGTGATTTATTTTAAGCAATAATACAAATTTCAACCAAGTCCGTTTCTAATGTCCCAAAATTGTTACTATTTCTTAAGTGTGTGAATGTAGATAAAAATTGATTTATTTATTGTTAGTTTTTTATAGTTTATTAATGAGTGAATTCTTGCATTTATGTTATTCTTATTTATCTTTTCTTTCTTGTTTTTCATTATGAATTAATAAGTTCATAATAAATAAGCCAAGTCCGTGCCAAGATCGTGAGATGCAGTCTGGTGTGATGTAGGTTTCAGAAAAACATTTTCTTAATCGTGCCAACGTTTCTATCTTTATTGAGATCATCTTCAGAGCCTGGGATTTACAAACTTAGTTTAAATTTAACAAATATATGTAGGATGTGAAAAAAGTGAATTTATACGATGCAAAAAAAGTATTTTTATATTCAATCAAAGTATTTCTACTCTCTCAAAGGGTGTTTTCTACGTAATTGTGCCATTCTTGTGTGTCGTGTTGGGAGCGCCAGTGAGATATTGCTGCTTTATGTTTATATACGTTGGATTTTGAAGGGGTTGGGAAGGAAATCGGAATAAAGACATTTTTATATGAGGAGTCGGCTTCTTTGAGGTGAAAGGAGCCGATAATGAGAAAAAACGTGGGTAATGGTTCGGAGAGATTATCATTTCAGGATTATATAGACGAGGATAATTAGGGAAAGGAAAGCCAAATTGTTGAAAAATTAGATTATGTAGAAATGTTTGATGTGATGATGATATATGTATGTTATCGATATTGAATTTGATAGAAATACATTGATTGAATATAAAAAATATTTTTTGCATTGTATAAATTCACTTTTTTTACACATCCTACATGTATTTGTTAAATTTGATAAAGATGATCTCAATAAATATCAAAACGTTGGCAAGATAAAGAAAATGTTTATCTCAAACCTACGTCACACCAGACCGCATCTCGCTATCTCCAAACAATCATTGGCAACGGTCATTAATCATCACACATTATGAATTAATTATTGTGTGTACTTTTTCTGCAGTCTCTATTTGATTAAAAAGTAAACATACCCATAATGAAAAACAGAATATGATGGATAAAGAAGGAATGATTGAGAAGGAGTGAGAGAGGGTGAAAGAAATGTCTGAAAATAGTACGGTAAAGAGAGCGACAGTTTTACAAGACCTGCCAGTCGTGATGGTTTAGTATAATGTGGGCGCCGTGAACTTTAGAAAATACCCAATTACTTGTTATGCTGTTTAAGCGTTGCATTAATATTCTATACTATAGATAGAAAAATGAGATAGATACATGCATTCATTAATTTGGTTTAAATAAACTGTTCATGGGGGACACAACACCTGATAATTTTCCTATTCTAGTAAAAAAAGTACTCACCTGCTTGGGTAAAGTTGGTAATTGGAGAGTGAGGGGAGAGAGAGAGAGAGAGAGAGAGAGAGAGAGAGAGAGAGAGAGGAAGAGATGAACTGGAAGAGTAGGGGAGTAATAGAAACGCGAGGTACTGAAGGTGAGCGAAAATTATGCATAGAAAGAGTTCGGGAAAGAGAGCGACAGTTTTACAAGACCTGCCAGTCGTGATGGTTTAGTATAACGTTAGCGCCGTGAACTTAAGAATACTGAATTATTTGGTTGGTATGCTGTTTCACTGTTCACGCGTTAAAAATACTGTTTGTTATCATTTGCATGATGGTTCGATACTATAGATAGATAGAAGATAGAGATAGATACATGATTTGTGCAGTATGTGTTTGTGTCAATCAAATCCTACCCTACTCCTTCTCTCATCAAACAGACAAACAAAATCCTTCCTGAAACACTTAAACAAAACGAAATTGACAAATACACCTACAATCACTTCAAAACAATTCTCCAACGCTCCCAAAGCTATACAGATCTATCAAAACACATAAACCTGAACAACCTCTAAGACCAATAATTTCATTTGTAAATTACCCTACACACATGACAAAATACCTAACCAATATACAGATAACACATATAAGTTAACAGATTCATTTAATTTCATTAACCAAATTAATAATATTCACATCCCCTCACACTACTCTCTCATATCCATGTTTTTCATTGTTCACCAGCATTGCAATAGACGCAACAGTGAACATTATTAAAGATAAATGGCCCAACATAACACCACACACGTCTATCAAAAAACACCTTCATAACAATAGTTTGATACTTCTGTATTAACGGATATTTTACACACAACAATCATTTTTACAAACAACTATTTGTCATAGCCATGGGTAGCAACCTAGGCCTGATACTTGCAGATATAACTATGGCACGTCTATTAAACACAGTAATACCACAACTTCCTTTCACATTACCCTTCCTCACTAAATACATATATGATATATTAACAGCAGTTCCACAGATCAAATTCAAACTACATTAGATACATTTAACATTTAACAACAACTTTCACCCATGCCTACAATTTACACATGAAATCAAAAATAACAAAACAATGCTATTTTTAGGTACACTCGTAATAAAACAACCAGATGGCACATTAATGACAGATTGGTATCAAAAACCAAGAAGATCGCTACCTCAACTTCACATCCCAATATCTGGATGACTAAAGCAACATATCTATGACTGAAAAAAATCCAAACAAAATTCTACAGCACTGGCTACCCACCATTTTGAATTCCAACACAATTTCGACTTTAGCAATCAAAAATATTACATACAGAATAAAACAAACATAAACATAACTATAAATGGTTTACATCAACAGAGATAAACACAGCATCAATTACAAAACAGACACGTGTAAACTCAGTTGCGGCTACAATAATATCATTAATAAAATTCAATATCAATAACATACATCATCATCACATTATACAAAACATATAATGTAATTATTCAGAAATCGTGAAATGCGGTCTGGTGTGATGTAGGTTTCAGAAAAACATTTTCTTTATTGTGCCAACGTTTCGATCTTTATTGAGATCATCTTCAGGGCTCAAAGTGTTTGTCTTCTGTGTAATAGTGCCACTATCAACATGACACGCAAGAATGGCACAATTACACAGAAGACAAACACTTTGAGCGCACAATTACACCAGACCGCATCTCACGATTTCTGAATAATTATCGATAACGGTCACTAATCACCACACGTATAATTTAACTTCAACAATTTGGCTTTCCTTATCCTAATTATCCCCATCTATATAATCCTGAAAGGATAATCAGGCCGAACCATTTCCCATTCTTTCCCATTGCCGGTTCCTTTCACCTCAAAGAAGCCGAATCCTCATATAAAAATGATTTTCTATCCCTTCTTCCTTCTCCACCATATGTAGACATAAAACATCAATATCTCACTAGCACTCTCAACACAATACCCAATAATGACACATCTACACAGAAAACTTTAAGTCTAAAATTTTTAGCATTATAGTCATTTTTTTCACATCCTACATGTATTAGTACAATTTAAACAATGTTTATAAATCCCAGGTCATGAAGATGATCTCATAAAAGATCGAAACGTTGGCACGATAAAGAAAATGTTTTCCTAAACACCAGACCACATCTCATTATCTCCAAATAATCATTAACTAACGGACACTAAACACCACACGTTTAGTATAATGCTGGCACCGTGAACTGTAGAAAATACACAATTACTCGTTACGTCCTCCTAAGGTGGGGTTGAGATAGGAAATTGATGTCCGAGTGGATCGAGGTCACGATAGCTCAAGTGGTAGAGCAGCAGCGTATCTAGCCGAAGATCGTGGGTTCGAATCCCGCTTGTGCCATTGACTTTTTTTCATCTCAACTAAAAACCTTAATTGTAATCATAGTGAAAGCTGGTTGATTGCATAGGAAACAATTCTTTTTAGACCTTCAGCGAAATTATTACAAGTCAGTTTTTTGACATAATAAAATAACATGAATATGCGAATTGGATGTCCGACACATAACAAAATAGAGTAGGGTAGTCAAACTTTCATAAACTAGTTAGTTGTTTATACTCTTTATTACTTATTTTCCAGTAACAGATACAGTGTGACATTTATGAAAACATTATGCACAAAGTGCAACTACATACATTTATGATTCAGTCATAAATGTCTCACTTGATTTTTAATTGTTTTTTTTTTAGTATTTTGTACTTTTTGGAAGGATATTTTCTTTAAAATACAAATTTCAGGAAGTCACTTAGACTAAATAAAGCCTTAAAATACAGCTTATTAAAGAAGGCAATTCTACTATCTTGAGAACTAAATAATTAGCAGAACATTTAACACAAAAAAAAAATTAAATTAAAAAAAACCTATTTACAAGATTAACAAAAGTGAGTTTCTATAAATATGTAATATACAAATGGAAAATATCTGAGAAAACTAAACAATTCTAAAAAGAACATATAAAACTATTATCTTTTATCAAGGTAACACATTGTTTTCTTAATCTATAAAAAACGTAAGTAGAAAATACAGTGCTCAATTCTTAAAAAATACTGTACAAAAACAAGAAAATGTCAAATCAATTTATTTTGTTTAAAAAAAATTAATTATTTTATAATTAATAAGGAACATACATTGTAAAAAATGAAAAAAGGGGAAATGTATGAAGTCATAATTACGTAAAAATGTTTTTAAAAGCAATTTCATTGGAACACAGGGAAAAATAACACAAAATAAAAATGGAGTAAACTAAAGAAAAACAACCATTCTGTAATTTCTTCTTTTCCACTCTCTTTCTCTTGATGCACTGGAAAATGCTTGTCTCCTTAAAATGCTTTTTCATCAAATGGGGGAAGATTATAGCAGTTTTATTTTCCGCTTTGTTTTTGCCCTTATATACAGTCCACATTATCACGAATAATTTCCTTTTGGGGTTTTTCATAACTCAAACTGACCTCACGTTAGGCGCAGATGGGGTTTTATACATTAGATTAATAACGTCCTAAAAAAAACATAAATTAGAGAAGGCTTTGAAATGGTTGTTTATAATGTTTGACAATAGTCTCACTTGGTGAGTATGAGCGTGACCTGGACCGATCATATCGCCGTCTTCTTGAGACGTACGGTGATGGAGACCTGTACCGGCCACCCCCTCGGTAGCTACTGTAATAATCCCTGAAAGATTTACTTTATTATTTTAAAAAACAAAAAGGAAAAAAATGGTTTTAAGAAATTACCCATAATCTCTTGTCTCCCTCCTATATCTTTCATCAGAGCTGAAGGAAAAAAGGAGGAAAATTATAACAATATATTAAACATACTGTAATAACTAAATTGAACAAAATAAATCATCGCTTACTAGGTAGGTTTGCCCATGTAGATTCCAGGGGTGGGAGTATGGGCCTTCTGTGTGATTGAGTAGTCCACCCTAATTTTGCGGCCATCAATCTCCATTCCTGTGCACTGTTCCTTGGCCACACGGGCATCTTCATAGTTCTCATAGTACACAAAACAGAAGCCCCTCGATTTGTTCGTCTGGAAGAAAACATGACAATTGTAACAAACTTGTAGTCAAATCAGAAGAATTAATGTTAGTGCTTCATATAATGTTAAGTTTGAACTATACCATTTTCATAAGCAACTATTTGGGCTTTAATTTATGTTTACTTAAAATTGAACTACACATTATCATTATCGTTCAGACATTATCTTTCAAAGTTCAGTTCTTTGTTTGTTCTCACAGAATAGCTTTTTTTCTTATTTTTTAGAAAAGCAATATTCCTTGTGTATTTTCTTTTGCAAGGTACAGGTGGGCATAAGAAAAATTCTCAAGACCCGTTTTTTCTTGCTGGTTTATATAAAAATTTGAGATCAACTAGAAAAATCTATCAGACTAAATGTTTAAAAAAATTTAAAATAAGCTTCACCAACCTTTTAAAGTCATGAACGTTGTTATACATACAGTGACACATATTTGAAAATCATTAGGATTTTTTCATTTTTTGAATTGATATCTCATTAAATAAAATAACTGATTTTTCATGGCTCAGGAAAATATGTTTTGCAATTGTTTACCCTTGTACTGATGTTTACACAAAGCTTCAAGGGTGGTGAATTTATTACTATTTATAAACAGTGTTTAATTTCTCATTAATATCAAATTAAAGCATGTAGAAGCGGATAGATGGGATCACGTAGCGTGAATTAAAGTGATAAGGTAAATCGAATTACAATTAAAAAAACATACGATGTTTCAGAACACGATTCACTTGTAAACTGCTTGTACTCATTGAATTACTTGATTTTTCTAATTTTCTAAAAAAAGCAGTATTTCATGACTATTTTCTTTAGCAAGTTACAGGTGGGCCAGAAGAATATTCCCGAGGCCCGTTTTTTCTTGCAAACAAAGTATAAATAAAAATTAGTTAACATAATTGTTGAAATATTATGTATATTACAATTTTTAAGTATTCACATAATTATTAAAATTTCAAACATGAAAGACTAAAGGAGTAAGGTAAAACCACTTTTCCATAAATGCATCCTCCATAGTTATAATTTTAAAAAATAAAAAAAATTTCTTGTCCTTTACACGCATTTAGGAGTGTAGTTCCCATTTTATTCAGGTAAAAATTGATTTTGCAAGGCTCAGGAAAACACGAAATACAAATTTCGCATTTGCTTGCACTTGCATTGATAAATCCCACCAACATGGCTTAAATATATTACCTACTAACTTGTCCTTCAATTTGGTATATATCTTCGTTCATTGTTATCACTGAATAATCTAGCCTTTGCCAAATTTGGTACAAAAGCAAATTATATTCTATGAAATATTTTTATAGCAAGGGACAGGTGGGCCAAAAGAAATTATCTCAAGGCCCGTTTATTCTTGCAAAATCACGCTGTCCTCACATACAACACAGGACTTGAATCATCACTCCACACAAAACCTGACAGATATAGTACAAAAAAAAGTTTAATGGCTAAAAAATAGTCTTTTACCTTTTCTTCCATTGTATGGATAGATTCTGTTACAAATTAAATTTGATTTACCCACCTTTGCATCAATGACGACTTGCACTCTCTCAACATTCCCATACTTGTTGAAAATGTGATGAATCTGTTGTTCGGAAGTGTGTGTACTGAGGCCAAAGACGCCTAGGCACTTGCTCGGCTGTGGGTTGTCCTGAAGAAGAACCAATGTGATAAGCTTCAAGAAGTTACTTTCAAAATGTTATAGTATATTCACATCAGCATAAACTCAAAACTGAAACAGTAGGTATTATTAAAAGGGTTTTCAACAGCAAAATAACCAATTTGTAAGGCTTTTTACTTTATGTATTTGAATAATTACGACTGTCATTAAAAATTAATAAAATGTAATAAAAAGGGAAAACAAAAATGCATGTATTGGATGGATATTTTTTCCAATCCAACATTGAGCATGCTTTAAATTGAATATTGTTCATATACTTTAAATTGCTGTCTAGCTGTAAGTAAATACACTACATAGTACCGTTTAACTGAATCCGAAACCGACTGCAATTTTTTTTTTTTTTTTTTTTAATATAACAATTTAAATTATTGGAGAGAATATCCTCCCTTCAATGTGTTTTTACATAGGCAGCCTTCAGTATTTTTTTTTAAACTTTCTTTTCAGTGTGATTATATTCTGGGGAATATGGTAATTACTTTTTTCATGCAGTTGCTTGTTCAAAAATTGTAGTCGCTTTTTGTTAATAAACAGACCAGCAGTCAAAATTTAATTTCCAATTTTTTCTGTTTTGGGCTGTCACTCTCAACTTGCTTTTTCTTTTGCTTGAAATGATTCCTTTTTTCAGTTTTGCAGGCATTTAATTTTTTTTACACACCACGTAAGAAAAATCACTCTTAATATATTGCTCAAATACAAGTTACAGATGGGCTACACACTACCAGAATTGCTATAAATTGGTACTGGCAGCACAGCTACACTCGTTATTTACCTTGAAGGGAAATGAGAAGGTAGTAAGGCTAAAGCGTCAATGGGTCAGGGGCCCGTCGTTTTGGGCCACTTATCTTTGACAAATATCCTACTAGCCATGTGAAAAAAATTGTAAACAATAAAACTATCAGCAGTTGGAAAGATAGTAAAAAATGCAAGTTAGCTAGAGTATAATTCACTGGATCTGTCTATACTGGTACGTTTCAGGAATAAATGTCCAGATGTCTGATCACAGAATCATACACATTGTGGTGGTGGAAATAAATATATCAAACACCAGTTTTTGGAGATCTTAAGAGGAGTAACTGGTCAATCTATAAAGCATATCTTAAGCTAGAAACAGAAGTGACTAAATGCTGCAGTTTAAAAATATACAGTAACTAGATCAACTATTTGAAAGGTTGACTAAGGCCATTACTACAGCCTATGAAGGATTTGGCTCGTTATCAATACCAAAGAGACAAATAGAGAAGTTCCAATCTACGAATCCAATGGTCTGCAACCAAAACTAGACAACTTTTAAATGGAGCAAAAGTGACAGGTAAATGGGATGAATACAAAAACTCCCTTAACTGAATACAATACAGCGCAAAGAAGCAAAAAGAAAATTGTGGAGAATTTCTGTAAAGGAATGGATAAAGCTTCCCATTGTGACGAGGATACAGAAAATTCAATTTATTCTTAAGGCAGATGGGAGTAGAACCCACGACGACAGAACCCTGGAAGAAATTATTGCAGTCCACTTCCCAAGGGTTAAACGTGTGGGTGACAATGAGGAGACCTGGAATTAACAGAGCAGAAGCTACCAACTGCTCAAAAAGGCCAGGAGCATCTCAGGCAAAATACTTCCTCCCAACAAAGTTAAATGGGCAATAAGCACCTTTAATCCCTACAGATCACCAGGAGGGAACAATATTTTCCCTGTGTTTACTGCAAACAGGGATTGGAATCCTTAACCATCCTTAATTTTCCATAAGAAAATCGAGGAACTTATAGGCCAACAAATTAATGACAATCACATCAAAGCCTCTTCATTACCAACAGCTTGCATACCGAAAGGATAAATCCCTTAAACAGTCCTAAACAATTTGGTAGAGCATGTTGACAAATCATTGGAAGAAGGGAAATAGCACTCTGCTGTTTCACAGATGTAGAAGAAGCCTTTGACAATACCTTGTGTTCAAAGCCATTGATATGGCTGTACAAAATTAAAGCATAGACCTCCCGACTACAAATTAGATATTAGCAATACTATGAAGTCGGAAAATAAATACTGAACTTGGACATCAATCAAACAAATAGCACCTACACAAGGAGGATCCCAAGGAGGGGTAATATAGCCACTTCTATGGCTGCTAGTAGTCAGTCGATCTAATTAAAGAACTAAATACAAAATTTAAAAAAGAAATCAATTTTCTCACAGCCTGAAATAAAATTAATTGTTTTAATCATTTTTTTTAAATATGTATGTGTATTTATTTCTACATTTTAATTACAATTGTATAAAATGTAATTTTGCCAAAAAGTCATTTGCACCATAATTGATTTATTTCTGTTTAACTTTAAAGTACTAAACTAACACATCAAATTCAGTTAAACGGAACTGTAGTGCAATGTCATTTATTTTATTAACCCTTATTAACCTATAAATCCATCTCTTCTTCACTATAAATAAAAACTTTTACAAAACAAAAGTATAAAAAAAAAATAATATGAAACAGTTTATTTATTTGTTGATTTTTTAAGACCACTGCAAAAAAAAAAAAAAAAAACTGGGTCAAGGTATGGTTATGAAGATGAAGAAAGCCAATTTAGTTGCTAATGCCAAGCTTTTGACCTGTTTTAAGGTCATCATCAGGGCAAAACAATTTTAAATATTTCAACAGATTGACAGATTTAAGTTTTTGGCATTAGCAACTAAATTTGCTTTCTTCTTCAAGATCATACCTTGATCCAGAGTGTTTTAAGTGAAAAGTGGTCGATACTTCTAATACTGGAAAAAAAATACATGCAATACTTTAACTTTTAATTTCAAGTGACTACAATAAATGGGTACTCAAAGCATGCAGTTGAAATGTACCTTTAAATACAAAATGTGAATGTTCTCAACTTGATAAACTAATTTCAAAATAAAATAAATATGTAATACTGAAAATATAATTGACAAAATATTAATAATTTAATGTGCATTTCATGTTCAATTCAATATAAGTTTGTGTAATTGATGCTTTGTAAGTGGCAGATAATAAAGCTTAATAGGGTAGGAAGAAATTATAAAAGTAAATCATTACTTTAAATAAATAAAATCTCCAGACTTTTTCTAAAGACATTTTCAAACTAAGACAAAAAACTATGTTCAAAGCAATCTTATCAATATAAAAACCACTTTTCAAAACTTCTACAAACTCATCTTTGTTTCTGAAGACGAAGAAGAGAATCATTTACAAATTAGGAAGGATATTAAGTTTTAAATGGAATAAGTGCAGTATCTAAATGACTGAGGAGTACCCGACTGTTGTAGTACGTTACCCGGCTCCCGATGTGCCGCCTTCGGTTAGACATCGGGCTCTTGGAGTGTGAGCGGCCCCTGCCACGGCCTCCCCTGTAAGGCAAGGGTGAGTAGGAGCCACCACTCCTCGATCTCGAGTAGCTCCGTGACCTCGAGTATCTTGAAGAACGGTATTTCCTTGGGGACTTGGATCTCGAACGGTACTTTGACGATCGTCGACCCTTATGGTGTGATCTCGATCTTGAACGTGACCTGGTTCGAAACGAACAATAATTAGATGCAACAATAACTTTTGGAATTAACTATACAGATAGATGACTTTTGTAACTTTAATGAATTTGAAACCGTAAGAATCACTAATCCAGATTTCACCTTCATAAAGCATTTTATATCAGAAGTGAAAATTATTTATTGACAACCAACATCTTAAAATAATATATGTAAATATATGTAAAAAATTTGAATTTCATTAATTAACATTCAAAAGTATAACTAACTTAAAATTGAACAGATACCAAAATTTATTTCTGTAACTGATCAATAATTAAATTATGACTTTAAATATATAATTCTTTTAAATATTAATTTTGATTTGCTTAAAATGAATTTGAAAATAATGTGACTAATTCTGAATTACAAATAAAACTATTGGCTATCAATAAATTACTAAACACACTTAACAAACCTAGACTTAATATGCTAAAAATTACTTTTAATTATGAGCTAATACATATGTAAATATGTATTACATATGTATATTATATTTAATAAGGATATAAAATTGTTAGAAGGTGTATTATAAACATAAACAACAAATTTTAAATGATATTGAAAAAAAGTTTCATCGTCTCACCTCTCTCTTAAAGTTGTTTTCAAATAAATTTGTTTTCAAAATCTTGAATAAAAAGACCATCTTGTGACGGAGTTATCCATAATGGAAATCTGTTAATAAACTTACAATTTATCTAATAGTATATAATTAGAAAACGAATATCTGTTCACCTGGCTGAGATAAAGGTAGCTGTGATGGGATTATGGAATAGGATGGTTACTTTGATGAATTTTATTTTTGGTTAAAGCATCCCATTAAGGATTTGATGAAAATATTCACAACACTTTACACCACTTTATTATTAAAATATAATAAAAGGGTGAAATTAAAAAGGAAAGGAAAAGCAAACCCCAATTTACCAATTTACAACAATAAAAATAGGTATTTTTTCAAGTCAAGGAAGGAAAAAGCAAGGTAAAGGAGGAAATATAAGGCCAGGGAACGGAATCCCTACCTTCAATTTTTTAACACAAATTTTTCTTCCTTCTTGAAAAAACTTATTTTGAGAACTTGATAGTCTTCAGTGAAATTGACAAATCTACATAGTCTTCTTGATAGTCTTCGTACAATTTTCATTCGGGTAGGTAAGTGTCTTTGAATTGTTTTCATTTTTCATCCCATGGGGCTTTTTCTTAATAACCTAAACAGCGAAAATAATTTAGTTTTAAATAGTCTTTCCTTTGTTTCTTTTTTTGTTTTTTTGTTTATTAAATTCGATCTATTTATCTTTACTCTTATGAATCCAAAAAATATATATTGGTTCAACCCAAATAAAAATGTATAGAGAAGAATTACATAGCCAATTACTTAAACTGAAAAACCACGAAGATTTACATTTAATCGACACTTATATGATATATTAAATTAAATATCAATATTACGTTATTTTATTAAAGTAAAATTAAAACAAAACAAACAATACAACTTAACAGTATTACAAGAATAACATAATTGCTTAAACAGCATGGGAAATGGTTTAGCAAGTATGTTAAACAAAAATGACTTATTCTAACCTCGATCGTGAATATTTCCGTTTAGATTTATGGATCGATGGTGATCGAGATTCACTCCTTCCTTTTCCCATGTAGTTGTTGTGATAAACTACTTTTCTCTCTTCTTCAGATTGTTCAGAGAGCTTGCCAGATGGAGTGTCACGACCCTGCAAAGATGAGAACATCAAAATGAAAACTATCAACTGACTGCAACTTTTGAAATAATTAAAATAAGGAACATGTGACAAATAATTTATTTTATGTTGCTAAAAATTAAACAGTTATTGCTACATATAAACCATTCTTAGCTATTACAACTTGTAAAAAAATGCACCGGTACTCTGAGGTAATTTTTTACCTCGTTTAATTTGGAAGGTGGAATCGTAGTGAGTCAGATGATTTTGGTAGTAGCATAGATTTCAAGAAAAACTAAATCAGTTACTATCAAAGAAAGTGAAATTAATATACATTAACATTTGATAATGATGATTAATCAACTTATCTGAGAAAGTATACTGTAAATCTTTCTGTTGTACAAGTTTAGTTTAAAATGCATTTCCCTTATCTTCATAACTTGAAAAGTTTTTAGGTTATAACTTATTCCATGGCTTAAAAGACATTTTATTTTATGTCCATCTCAAAAAATCATCATGCGTTTCCCTTACCTTCATAACTAGTTTTTAGGTTAAAACTTATTCCATAGTCAATAGGTTGAAATTTTGTCTTCAGTTATGAACCTGTTATGTTGATGTCACAACCACAATGTCGCTCAGATCCCCAATGACAAGAGTGAAGTGAATCAATAAAGTATTTAGTTTCCACCAGTCCTGCCTAGTTGAAGGGTGCAATTCCTTGGCTCCATATAGATTGTGTACAGGAATGTCACCCGATATGAGAATGAATTGTGCATGAGCAAGGCAACAAGTATCTGGGTCCACCTTTCATCATTTTTGAAGTTAACAAGGTTGTTTTATTGTATATAATAGCGTGTCTGTAGTGTTAAAAAGTGAATGTGTTTATTGGCATGGATGTGGAGTGTGAGAGGGTTGAACATCGACTCTCAATTATGTTAGTTATATAACAGGTGTAAAGGTGATGGAGGAAAATCGAAGTACTCCACTACCCTAACTGAGTGAATGGTACTGGAGAAGAAGAATGGAGATAAGAAAGAATTTATAAAGAATGTAAGAATAAATGAGAGTGTGAATGCATTTAAGAACTAACTGTGTTGGGGGTGAAATGACCTAGCTGGTGGGAGGAGCCCAAAGATTCCAACCCTGATGGCACAACAAATTAGAGATCTGAACTCGGAACAACGGGTGTGTGATTCTAAATGCCTGGCAGTAATTTATTGTAAAGTACAAAAGCTAGAATTGCTGGTGGACTGCAGGAAATGAGAGACTCAACTCTACATGCAAGGATGTTTGTACACGTGCAGATTTGAATTTATATAAATCAGTATTTAATTTGTACAATGTATAAGCTAATTGGCTCCCCTAAATCCATTTTTTTTAGGCTATGTGTACATACATACATATGCTTGTATGTATTTGGTTTTATTTTCTTTGCATCCAACATATGTCCAAAAGTACATTTAATTATGGGGGCGGTACGAATTAATCCCATTTCAATTAATTTCAATGAGGTAAGTAAATTGTTTAGAGATAAGAGCATTTTGATTTATGAACTCGGTCATAGAAAAAATTCAACTCGTATCTCAAGGTACCACCACTTTTGTCTGGTAATTGTCTTACTAGTTCACTTAATTAAGGTTTTTAGTTGAGATAAAAAAGTCAGTGTCACGAGCGGGATTCGAACCCACGACCTTCGGCTTGATACGCCGCTACTCTATCACTTGAGCTATCGTGACTTCGATCCACTCAGGCACCAACTTCCCATCTCAACCCCACTTTTTGATTTTCCTTCCTGTTTGCCATTTTTCAAATGTCGTGTAATCTATTTGATTCTCGGCTCATGACACTGGCTTTTTTATCTCAACTAAAAACCTTAATTAATTGAGTGATATTAATTGGTCAAGTGGACCACGAAAACTAGTGAACTTACTAGTTCAGTTCATGAAACCCCCGTTTCAGCATATGCCAACAAAACATTTGAATAAGTTAAGTAAATTATTGACTGTTGATGAAATTATCGAATTTTATCAAAAAAACAAGCTGATTTACAAATAGAACAAATTCATCTTATATAGCAAGGTACACCACTTGTATTGCCTTACTAGTTCGGTTAATTAAACCCATTTCTGCATGTGTCAACAAACCACTGAAAATGGCAGGACCCGACAAAACTGTGTACATTAATCAAAAGTTTGATCAATTTTAAAGTTGAAATATATTTTGTTTTAACTAGTTGTCTTTTTAAAACAATACAAAATCTTTGCTTTTTTAAATATTATATTTGAATAATGTAAGTAAATTATTGACTGTTGATAAAATTATTGAATTTTGTCAAGAACAAGTTGATTATGAATGGAACAAATTCATCGCGTATCTCAAGGTACCACATGTATAGTATTACTAGTTCGGTTCATCAACCCTGTTTCAGCATGTTCCAACAAACAATTCCTATAAGTAAATTATTGAATTTTGTCAAAATCAAGCTGATTTATGAATAGAACAAATTCAACACTTATCTCAAGGTACCACCCACATGTATAGTCTTACTAGTCCGGTTCATCAAACCCATTTCAGCATGTGCCAACAAACCAATTCTGTAAGTTAAGTAAATTATTGACTGTTAATAGAATTATTGAATTTTGTCAAAAACAAGCTGATTTATGAATAGAACAAATTCAGATCACATCTCAAGGTACCATTTGCATTGTCTTACTAGTTTGGTTCATCAGACCAATTTTTATACGCGTCAACAAACGACCGAAAATTGCAGTACATAACAAAACAATGTGAACATTATTGAAAAGTTTCGATCTATTTTGTTTAACTAGTTGTCTTTTTCAAAGAAAACCGTACAAAATCTTTTTTTTTTTTTTTTTTGTTAAATAGTTTGGGCCGTTTTTACATATAAAGTTGTTTTAAGTAAATTATTGAGTGTTGATAAAATGATTGAATTATGCCAAATAAATAGGATGACATTGGCAATTTAATGTGAGGAATGAGGATTAGAGGTAACGAAGGCCCGGGACCGCGTGCTTGGTCGATAAACGGCGGGATCGATGAAGGCCAAAAAGACAATAACGACTCAAATATAAACAAATTTCTACTTTTACCTTCGAGTGTCCGGGAGGCTGAAAACAAAAATCCAACGATTAATTAAATAAAACCGAGTTTCGAGCGTAAACTGGGTGTCGCGTAAAAAAGCGAAACGCGGGTTAACCTCGAGGGTTAAACAAAGGACGGGATAACAACACGAATCGGCCGGGTTGTCTCACAACGAATTGAATCATGTGTCGAGGAAAAAATGCAACGATAATTGAACGCATCAAAAAAAATTTATTAAAAAAAAATAATTTAAAAAATGGACAACAAATATAATAAACAACGGTAAACGCCGACCGGCGTGGGTGGAAACGGAATAAAAATACTTATACTCACATCTCTATTGTATGACCCTTCTCGATCGCTCATATCGTCTTTATTTAGGTCTCGGTTCAAATGAAAAAAAGGCCGCTGGATTTGGTAAACGGCAAAAATAGAAAAATCCTCGCCAAGTGTTCAGAGGTTTGGACAGCAGTGGAATTCGACGATCGAATATGGCGAAAATGGATAAAAGACGAGTACCAGTCTCACCAACAACGCCCGCCACCTTCCCAACAAAATTTACCTCCGCTTCCCTATTTGAAAATTCAAATTTTAAATTCAGCTCACGATTTTCAATTAGATAGTTCTTATCCACCTAAGTAATAATAATGACTGTTTAGAGATCGTGAGATGCGGCCTGGTGTGATGTACGTTTAGAAAAATATTTTCTTTATCGTGCCAAATTTTTGATCTTTATTGAGCCCTGAAGATGATATAAGTAAAAATCGAAACTTTGGCAGGATAATGAAAAATTTTTTTAAACTACATCACACCAGACCGAATGTCACGATCTCTAAATAGTTGTTAATTAACGGTCACTAAATACTATATATTATTAATAATAATGTGGAAAGTTTATGGGCCGATAAACAGCTAAGGTCATCGCCGGTCCTCGGCGTGTTTTTGCTTCTTTTCTGTTCTATCACTGTATTTTTTAGCCTGCAACCATTTGAGCATTCGATCTATTACCGACTTTGCTTTCATAAGAAAACTAAGTCTATACCCTATAATGCTAGCCTCTCATTTGAACGTCAGGTTGTCAACTACAGAATAAAATATGCAATACATATACACATCACTACAAACAAATAACATTCCAAACTGTAGCAACTTGAAATTCGTAAATTTTATCATCAAACCTATTGAAAATGTAATGCTAACGTACGTGCATTTCCCAAGAAAATTAGTTAGATCTTACCCACCTAAGTAATAATAATAATAATAATAACATTGTGGGAAGTTTATGACAAACAGCTAAGATCATCGCCGGTTCTCTGAATTTTTTTACTTCTTTTCTGGTCTATCAGGGATATTTTTAGACTACAGCCATTTGAGCACCTCGATCTATTACTGACTCTGCTTTCATATGAAAATTAAGTCGATACCCTGAAATGTTCTCATTTGAACCTCAGGTTGTCAAATACAGAATAAAACATACAATAGGTATAGAAATCATTACAAACAAGTAACACTCCAAACTGAAGCAACTTGAAATTCGTAAATTTTATCAACAAACCAAAATGTAGTACTAAGGTTCATTCATCTTTATGTCTAGTCTGTAACAGTTTTGATGTGAGGGGTCATTAATTCAACAAATCTACCCAATGCATTACCTTTTAGATAATAATTAAGAAATAGTTTTTTTATATAATTTGTTGCGTCATACAATTTAGTTTGTAGATTCCTAATAAATTATTAACCCAAAAAAATATCCGTTTTTGAGTCGATACTGTTTTGATTTGGAGCGAGAGATGTTGCATGGTGTGCAAGTTCTCACGGGCATATTGCGAGAAAGGTGACTACAATATTCAATGTCGATCAACGAAGGATCATTGATCATTTATTCATACTGTGATGTTTAAAAATAAACGATTGCAAGCTTTTTTGGGATATTCGGAGGGACCGTTTGAAAGAGTCAAGTGCGCATTAGAATCGTTCAAATTTTAGAGGGAACGAGGAAACGTGATCGATTGTTTCTAAACTGGTTGAGAAATTTTTCAAACGCCGTTTTTTATGTGTATGGATGTCTACAATTTTAAAATAGCAAGAAAATGAATTTTTTACGTGAATGTTTTAATACTGAAAATTGTGAAGGGATCAGAAGTTTGTGATAAATGTACATATATACAAGGCAATGCGTTTTTGTTTTTTGACGTTAGAAAACAATCGTATTAATAAAACAAACAAAAAATATAAACTATTTTTTAATTGTACAAATATATCATTAGTATATAATAATAAAATTTTAGTAATGCTTTTTCTTGTTGTTATTATGTGAGATTTGATGGATGAATCGATGTTTGAGAATCGAGACTGGGGATCCGAGCGCGCGTCAGTCGTGAGAAGATGACCTAGCTACTTGACTAACCCGACAGACTTGAACCAGTCCACAACAAGATGGCGGGCGCTATGTTATTCGAGAGAACCGTTTCGACGGAAAGCAGGGAAAACAAAAAGAGTTTCAGCAATCTGGAAGAGGACAGCGATGAAAACATCAAGAGCAAGGAGCAGGGGATCCTCCAACTGGGGGAGCAGTACAAGAACGAAGGGAAGGCGAAGGAGCTGGCGGAACTGATCAAGGCTACCAGGCCTTTCTTGAGCCAGATCAGCAAAGCCAAAGCGGCGAAGCTGGTTAGGTCGTTGGTCGACTACTTCCTCGACTTGGAAGCCGGTATCGGCATTGAGGTCCAGCTGTGCAAAGAATGCATCGAATGGGCGAAGAACGAGAAGAGGACGTTCCTGAGGCAGTCGCTGGAGGCGAGGCTGATCGCGCTATACTTCGACACCGGCATGTTCACCGAGGCACTCCAGCTCGGTTCCAGCCTCCTTAAGGAACTTAAAAAGCTCGATGACAAGAATCTGCTCGTCGAGGTACTTCTCCTTGAGTCTAAGACGTACCACGCGCTGAGCAACCTCTCGAAGGCGAGGGCCGCACTCACTTCTGCCCGGACGACGGCCAATTCGATTTACTGCCCTCCGAAGATGCAGGCCGCCCTCGACCTCCAGTCTGGCATCCTCCACGCCGCCGACGAACAGGACTTCAAAACGGCCTACTCCTATTTCTACGAGGCGTTCGAAGGGTACGACAGCGTGGAGAGCCCCAAGGCGCTCGTCGCCCTCAAATACATGCTCCTATCCAAAATCATGCTCAACACTCCAGAAGATGTGCAGCAGCTAGTGAGCGGGAAGCTAGCCCTTAAGCACGCAGGTAGGGACATCGACGCGATGAAGAATGTCGCCAAAGCGAGCCACAAACGGTCGCTGGCAGATTTTCAGCAGACGTTGAAGAACTACAAAAAGGAACTGGAGGAAGATGTCATCGTACGGGCCCACCTGGGAACCCTCTATGACAACATGCTAGAGCAGAACCTGTGCCGCATCATCGAGCCCTATTCCAGGGTCCAAGTTGAGTTTGTCTCAAAGTCCATCAAACTTCCAACACTACAGGTCGAAAAGAAGCTGTCGCAGATGATCCTAGATAAGAAGTTCAATGGGATCCTTGACCAAGGAGAAGGCGTCCTGGTTGTCTATGAAGAACCGGCTGTCGACAAGACTTACGAAATGGCACTTGAAACGATCAACAGCATGGGTAAAGTCGTTGACACACTATATCAGAAGGCTAAGAAACTCTCTTAAATTAACTAATTGTATTTAAAGAACAGAAGTTTAAATTTACTTATATATATAAAAATATACAAATTAAAACTAAAAAAAAAACTTTAAAAAAAAATTTAAAAAAATCAGCTATAATCTCATTCATCTGTATGTGGATAAGTCTGATAAAAACCTGGAAATAAAATATTTTCATAAATCATTTAATTTTCCTTTTTCTCTTTCTTGTTTGTTGGCATTATTAAAAAACTAACAAAATTAGTTTGATTGTTGACATATTTTTTTTGTTTATTAATTTTACTCAGTAATTTAAAAAAAGGCTCATAACGATATTCTTTCATTAAAAATAAATTTCACAAATACTGTACATGCGTTTAAAAACAATTTAGGGCAGTTATAATATTACATTAGCACCGACTCATTAATACTTTGTAAGACTGTCCATTATTGGATTTAAATGGTTTGGTCTTCAGATTTTTTCAAATTTGTTTTGTTAAATATTTATTTTGCTAGAGCTTGTCATTTAATAGGTTGAGTAATTGACTCCTTTTCTTTATAACAAAAAATTTTATAACATGATGAAATTTTGCTTCAATTTTACATTTTAATCCTTAGTCTATTATAAAAATGTACTTTTATTAATAGTATATAAAACACTAAAAGTTAGTCGTTTGAATATTGTTGTGAGCCAGGGTATGTTAGAGTTATTTCAATAAAAAAATGTGCGAATGAGACTGTTTTTTTTATTACATAAAAAAATGCAATTGTATATATATATAGAAGTCAAAAGTAGACAATTTTAAAAGTCAGTTGTAGGATTAAAAAACATATATTTTTATTTTTATATATCTGGTCTCCTGTTTTCCTCTTGAATCGGAAAAGGATCCTCCAAGGATATTTCCCTCTTAAGCAATTCTACTTTTTCTTTCCGAGTGTCTGTCTAATTGTTATCTAGCGAAGCTGTTAAGTTGTGATTTAATAAAAAAATATATTTGACTGTAATATTATTTATTTTTGAAAATCCCCCCCCCCACGTCAGAGGGTCAAGCAAGGCTTTTCTGCGACTCATGGTTTTAAAATAAGAGTTGGCAGCAAACCAGCTTGCTTGCCTGTTTTTATATGTCATGTTTTACAAAAATCTAGGTTTTTTATTGCTCTTTTGGGGTCAACCTGTTTTGACCTCCAATTTCTATATTTGGAATTGTATCCTTATAAAGGAATGATCCATAAGGAGAAGGTGGATTTTTCACCAGCTCAACAAATGTAACTACAGTTGGTTTAATTACATAAGTTTAATCAGTTAGTAAAAATACAATGGATAAATCATAATTTAACCCAAATAGGAACATTCAGTTATCACAGTTTATACAACATCCATACTCGTATCAGAGAAATTTAAGGCAACATTTTTTTTGCCCGTTTTTTTGCTTTTTTTTGTTTTCTTTGAAGTCACTGTCTTGTCCTTTGCATTTATCTTCAGTGCCTTTTTTTGAGCTGAAATTCAGAACATTAAGTTTCTATTAAGTATAATTTTCAAAGCAAATGTTTTGATATTTTGTTAATATTAATTCACTACCCTGGAGGTCATGTAAGGCTTTTAATTTTAATTTTTTTAAATTTCCTTTTTAAATGTTCTAACATTTGCCAGTGGTACATAGCACTAAGTCCTCTTCTTAATAATTATGATATAACTTAGAAGAGTTTTTAAATTTTATTTGCACCTTAACGTATATGGACATATGCAAATGGGATCACAGTACTTTTTTTTACATGGTCATCATTCCAGAGCTGCACCTGGGGGGCACACCATGAGAAACCAGCCAATGCTTGCACTCAGTGTGGGATTAAGAGACAAGGAGGTCTTGAGGCTATTTCGATTAAAGCGATATGGCAGATTCTTGGGATGGGATGTGGAGAAAAGGCATGACCAGTAGGGTTAAGAGTGAAACTTTTGGAATCGGGAACGGCCCAGTTTGTTGACAAAAGGAGTATTGATATCATTGTGGTTAATGGGCTAGTAAGAAGGTTTTGTCTGAGGACTTGATTGGATGCACTGAATGTTGGATGGCTTGGCAGAACTCCACAGCTCCTTGTCCAGAGTGGTTGCTGTAAAGTCTTCTGTGTTTAGACTTTACAGCCAAGTAAATTTTTAACTAACCATAATTAGTTTTGGCTGTAAAAACAGATTATGGTTCTAGAAGTCTGTAGTTGTCCTCTTCTGTTAAGTTGTCTCAAGTCTTGTGTAGGTAGTCCTAAATATTTGACTCGAATAAAAATCAGTATCTCTTTGTTGTTGATGTATAGTGGAAGGCAAGACTTTTCTTTTCTTTTTTAATGTGATTGTACAATGAGTAGATTTTTCTTTATTTAATCTTGTCCAACACTGCACCATCGATAAGCTCAAGGTGTTCTTGGATGTTGGATGTAGTTGGGATAGTTCAAGTTCGATGAAAAAATTGTGGTGATGGTGGTATGGGGTGTGTGCAGGTAGGTCAGCAGTATAAAGGATGGGACCAAGAATGCTTCATTGTGTGATGCCACCTTGTATTTGTCTGCCTTTCGAGAACTCGTTGCTGCATCTCACTCTAAAGCAGTGGTCAGATAGGATTTTAGGATAAAGTAATAATGATTGGGTAGGAAAATGTTTAAGTGATAAAGCATGCCCAGGTGTCACACCATATCAAAAGCCTATGCTAACATCTAGGAACGCACACATGCTCTTTTCGTTTAAGGGTTATTTTTCATCGGTTCCAGTCCCATTCATTATAATTATATATAAATTAATTTTTAAACACAAAATTTGAGATTTAAAAAAATCAAGTTCAGGATGGGATTTCAATCCACTGTCTTCGATACCGATGCTCTAACGACCTGAGCAACTTTGATTCATTGTACGAGTAGATTTTTCTTTATTCAATCTTGTCCAACACTGTGCACCACCGATAAGCTCAAGGTGTTCTTGGATGTAGTTGGGATAGTTCAAGTTCGATGAAAAAATTGTGGTGGTGGTATTGGGGTGTGTGCAGGTAGGTCAGCAGTATAAAGGATGGGACCAAGAATGCTTCATTGTGTGAGTCCACCTTGTATTTGTCTGACTTTCGAGAACTCGTTGTCGCATCTCACTCTAAAGCAGTGGTCAGATAGGATTTTAGGATAAGGTAATAATGATTGGGTAGGAAAATGTTTAAGTTATAAAGCATGCCCAGGTGCCAGACCATATCAAAAGCCTATGCTAACATCTAGGAACGCACCCAAGCTCTCTGTTTAAGGGTTATTTTTCATTGGTTCCAGTCCCATTCATTATATATTATATATAAATTAATTTTTAAACACAAAATTTAAGATTTTTTGACTGTGACTGATCTTATAGACATCGACCTTTCTGTCTCAACATATAAGGTTTGTGCAATAATTTAGTCCAAGTTACACATCATATAGATGCTCAACTTTCATGACTATCATGTCAATTCCAACATAGTACAGAATTTATTAAGGGAAATTTTTTATTAGTTTTAATTCCATTCATTATATTATATATAAATAAATTTTTAAACATGAAATTTGAGATAAAGCCAATGTCATGGATGGGATTTGAACCCATGATCTTTGGGACTGTATCCAATTCTCTGGCTGCCTCTGCAGGTGGTTACCTGAGCCGCTGTGACTTTAATCTCCGAGACATTGAGCTTTCTCTTTTCTCTTTAGAATAGAGGAGAAGTGCCAACAATTCTGAAACCTCATTAGATCATGGAATAATAAGAATGGAAGCTGGATTTGTGAGAAGGAATGATTTTATGAAATTTGAAGATGTAACTAATCATAATGATGTTAACTACACTTTTCATTTGCTTTCCTGTCAAAAAGTGACTTGTAAAATGTCGTGGAGACTCCAGAGTAATGAATTATTAAAATGTTCTTTGTACTTAAAGCCTATTGTTAATCACAACTCCATTATTCAATTGACCTAATTTAATAAATAATTATTTGATGAATCACATGATCATACTTTGTTAGAACTATATATTTTATAAAAGTAACAAATCATACCAGGATTTTTAAATCTAGATGTCACAAAGCAGCACGGGACTCTCCTGAAATAGTGAAAAGTTGGCGTTATAACCATAGTATCAAGAGGCCTCCAAGGGAAATGTGGACTGGCAACGTCCTCGACATTAATTGTGCAATACTTTAAAGATAAGTTGAGTGTGTGGTTCCTATAAAAAAATAGAAAAATGAAAAATAAATAAATGAAAAAAAAATCAAAATGACTTCAGATAATTGCCGATTACCTGTCAGTTTCTTTGAATATTGTTACAAAAGACTCGCTTTCATATTCATGGTTGATGATGTAAGAACCAGGCTTGAGTTCGGTCAGCTTGTCGAGAATTGTATGGGCTGCTCTCAGCCGGTCATAAGGATTAAAATTGTGTAACCGCCGACACTCAGTTGTCAGATCTAATAGGTTTTTCTTTTCTACTTGTATCATTTCACCTGTTATCGGATCCATTCTAACTGAAATAATAAAATTCCTATTTGATGAAACATTGCCAACAGTTCAGTTAGAAAATGAAAAAAACCTCTTCCAAGCATAGTGTTTGGCCTTAAAAGTATACTGGACCAGTCTTTGAGTGATTCTTCTAAGGTAACTGACTCAGCACCATACTCAGGCTGGTATTCAAGTTTAGCAGACAGTTTAAAACGGCCCATTTTAGAGTAGGCAAAAGTCTAAAAAATTAATTGAACAAAGATCATTATACAAAGTATTTACTGCATTGATTTTGACTTACACCTCTTCCTTCGTGTGATACTCTGACTAGCAACTTCAAGTCCTTGAGCCTCGTCTTCTTGGACAAAACGTTTTCTTCATGGCAAGCTTTCATTTCCCACAAATTGTAGTTAATTATGAAATTTGTAGTTCGATTTTCCTAAGGACATACAGAATGGTATTATTTTTACAGGAAAATACAATACATAATGAAAAATACAAAAATAAATATAAAAAATTATATTAGGCTGTAATAACAGGAATCATTCCTTGCCCAGTACATTTTTTGTCTTATGAATTTTTTTAAATTAAGTAGTAAACTGTCAAATCTAATTTGGCATTAAGTAAATTAACTTTTTAAGTAGATTGAGCTACACATTTTATTGCTATCAATTTAAATTTTTGTCAATTTAGTACAACTAGAGTAATGAATATGTTGTGAATTAATTTACATTTTTTCCATTATGGGATGATACCGAAGATTTTTCATTTATTTCTTTCCGTTTTTTATTTTGATTTCCATCAACCATATTGTCACTATTATAACTTTCTGTATCCTTTCCACACTCGTTATCTTCTTTGTCGGTCTCAATACACAGGTCATCTGAATGAACAGACTGGTCTGTTTCGAAGTCGTCTTCTACCGCAGTTGAAAGACAGGTATTTTCACTTGGCTGTGGATTAATAGAATTATTCGAGCCGCTGTCAATTCCAAATGTCTCCAATTCAGTACAGTCGTACATTTTGGGAAATTGCGCACTAGAAAACAATATTATAATAATGAAAGTCGTGAAAATAAACGTTAAAAATGGTCTTTACCGCATTTCTGTGGCAGGTTTGACCAGTAACCTTTTTATGGCCTTTTTCATAAAGAATTTCTGTCTGTCCACAATAGTCATGGCCTTTGGTGGAAGTTTCTTGTCAAGAAATACTATTTTCTTTACACCCGTTTCTATTAAAAAAAAAAAAAAAAGTTTAAATGATATGTTGATGTTATTTGACATTATGATTTACCTCTTTCAACTTCTTTTACTAACACAAAGATATCCCAAGAGGATTCATGGCCAGAATGGTTAATGAGTGCACAAAATGCACTAGCTGACATTACAATTTGCACATCGGAGTTATAAGCAATTGACTCTGCCTTTTTATCTTTAGAAACTGAAATTTAAAAAAAAATCTCATCTCATTAATGCTGTTGAAAGAAGAATAATTTCAAATTTTAACAACTATGCATATTCATAGGTTCATTTAAAAAAATCTAAATGTGTTTTAAATAGCAGACATTTTTTGTTATAGGTTGATGTTATTGTTGTTTCTTCTGTTTGTACATGTGTAGTCACAAGTGTTGATGATTTATACTTTTAGGACTATTCACAAAGAAAAATGGCAAAAAGGAGGGAAAATTCAAAAGGTGGGGTTTCGATGGGAATAGTGTACAAGTTGATCGAAGTCACGATAGGTCAAGCTAGATAGAGCAGCGGCTAATTAGCCGAAGGTCGTGGGCTCGAATCCTGCTTATGACACTGACTTTTTTTATCTCAACCAAAATCTTAATTAAAGATTAATTAATAGAAAAAAACTATTCACAAATTATATCATTTTGGAAGGCCAGTTGAGTTTCTCCAAAGGTATGAACAGCAAAATCAACTATGAATTGCACTAGTTATTTCATGTTAATATAAAAATTGTTACTACTTATAAAGGCACTCAACCAATTTAGGTTATAATCCGCCTTAAACAGAAAATTTGGGAGGGTTCTCACCCCTTATTTCACATGAATACTTCACAACCACTAGGCTAAGTTTCTAGTTCCCATTTCCTTACTTCAATCTTCATTTTTCAGTCTATATTCTATGTATCAATTTTGTAGCTCTCAACAACTTATCTATCTTTGTACGGTCATCAGCAAGAGTGTTTTCAATCTTGTTAGAGATGTTATAGCGCCTTTTGGAATTTTCATATTGTTTGAAGTTTGCCAACAGATGTTTTACGCTCAACTCTTCTGTCACAAAAAGGAAGGTCCCCTCAGAAATCAGGAAAAACTGGGTTAGCTTCCTATCCTAAGCCTAGAAATTTTAGCTACTTCATGTTTGTATCCCATGATGGATGAGATCCAAAGTTTCACATAATCTTTAATTTCTCTAACCTTGATATTTCTGGTCGAGTGAGATTCATCCTACCACAAACGCCAACATTTTATTTTGAAAGAAGCTATCACGTCTTATTGATGCTTTTGTTACTCAATCTCCATCTGATATTGCATATTTAGCTAGAAAATCTGCCCTTTTGTTTCCTGATATCCCACCATGGCCAGAATCCACATAAAACAACTTTTATTCCATGATTTTTAAGCATTCAATACCAAGTAGAATTTTGTGGATTAGAGAGATAGAGCAAGGAAAAGTTGTTTTCAAGTGTCAATAATACTGATGATGAGTCTGAACAGATGATGAGCACATCAAGTTGGACTAAAATATTCATGCACTTTGTTATTGTAACAATCTCAGGAGTATAGCTGCTACATAATGATGGTAAGGTAAATTTTTCATTTCTGTTATTGCATGTGAATGCAGCGCCCATACCTGTATACCAAAGTAACCCTTATAAATTAATTAAAATAATTAGAAATTGGAATGCCAGGTTTATTTTAGAACACTTATGTGTGATTGTCTTAATTGAAATTCTAGTCTTAGTAGAAAATCTTAATTTCTGCAATGTATGTTATTTATTTATTTTTTACTACATTTTATCAAATGTTTTCTCTGCTGAGAACATATTAACATTTAAGATAGTTTTCTATGTCCAATTTTCATTTGGCAAAGATAAAACAAAGTGGAGTGAAGATCAATCAATATTCAAATATTGCTTTTATGGAGTGCTCCACATATAATTTACAAAACATACAAAATACTGACATGATAGATGGAAATTTTGCTATCAGCTCTCTAATTGTTATAAAATATGTAAATAAACTAACCTTCTGGATGATATTGGGCATACAATAAATTTTTATAGACCGTCTTGTATTGTGGCCAGCCATGTTTTGTACTGGTATTATCTGAGGCCAAAGCATCCAAATCATTGTTCATTTTTTCAAAAACATCCTGGGCCTTGACAAGGAACATTCTCAAATGTGGAAAAGAATACTTAGCAGTCCTCTTGCCCTTAAATAGTTAATGTAAGTCAAATTTTATTGTTAAGATAAATTTTAACTTACGATGTGGGCGACAGTATTGATGTATGTAAATGTTCCTCTATAGTTAGCATTTAGATCGTTATCCTTGAGAGGAATTGACATCACATTAGAGAAATACTTTGGGTATTCACGCACCCTTTCTAATTTAAGCTAAAAAAATTAAAAACAAAAACTTTAAAAAAATTGTTTTTAAATTAAATGTCAAACAATAAACTAACGAAATAAATAAAAGAAGATGATGAAAATACTGTAATGACACTTACTTTCCAAAATTTATTTACATATTTCATGACTTCTGGTGTTATCTGGGAATGCTTGTTCATTGCAAAGTGCATCCACTGGTTCATAGCAAAATTCTGATATGAAGCTTGCTCGTTTTGAAGTGCTTGTGAGTGCTCCTACAAAATATAATTAGTAAAAAATATTAGATTGTAAAATGTAATGTTGAGCACAACTGCTGAAGGTTAGTCCCACGATTCAACTTTTGTTGTAGTTGATCAGCTAAGATTTAAAAAAATCTGTAGTGTGAACATTCAGTTCAACAGTATTCAGTTGATCAAGTAAAGTTTCATCCAGCCTAACTTTTGTCATTCAAGTTGAGACTTGTGTTCAAGTTGAAACACGAGAACATCTCAAATGACTGTTCCCTGTTCAACTTTTTCACTATGGGTATTGTTTTGTTTATAAAATAGTTTTCAAAAAATGAGCCTCAAGTGGATACAGTATGAAATTTGTATAATTTGATGGTAAACATTAATAATCTGGTCCCCTGTCCGATTCTTAGAGGAACCAGGATTGTTTCATTGTATATAGTAATGATAGTATTGTGCCCTTAGAGTTGAGAGTGAATGCATTTGGTATGAATATGTAGTGTGAGAGGGCTGATGTACTCCATCAACCCTTTTGGTTTAATAAGGGTGATGGAGAAACATCGGGTACTCAACCACCCTAATTGAGTGAATGGTATATAAAAAGAATAGAATGTATTTAAGAACAAGCGAGAGTATGACAGGATTGAATTTAAGTATGATTGCATTGGGTGTTGAAATGACCTAGCTGTTGACAGCACCCAGGGTCCAACCTTGCTAGGCGTTCAAAACCAAGGCCTGACCCAACACTGCCAACACCTGTACTCAAGGCCTACTGGTAATTTATTGTAACTAAGCTGGAATTGCAGGTGGACTGTGAGAAGTGTTAGGCACAACTATACATGTACATGTGCAAATTTACAGAAATCATAATCAAGAGAAAAGAAAGGTAATTGCTGAATTTATTTATTGCAAAATTAAGACATTTGCCTTCTGCCTTGGATAACCAAGCAATGTATGCATCATCTTTGCTACTGTAATAATACATATTTGTAATGCATCCATTTGCTAAACTTTTACAATTTTGCATTAAAAAAAATCTATTGTCAAATGTTAATTGTTGAATTTACTAGGGCCAAATTAAGACATGTGCCTATGAAGCATCTTTGGCCCAAAGATTGCTGACATTTATGGATCCATTTGCTAAAACTTTCAGAATTTTGCGGGAAAAAAAGTTCTCTACTGTCAAATAAATATTAATTATTAGATTTTCTAGGGCAAAATTAAGACATGTACCTATGCAGCATCTTTGGTATGAAGGTTGCTGACATTTATAATACCTTTAATGGTCCATTTGATAAAACTTTCAAAATTTTTGTGGAAAAAACAGTTCTCTATTGTCAGATAAATATTAATTATTAGATTTTCTAGGGCAAAATTAAGACATGTGCCTATGCAGCATCTTTGGTATGAAGGTTGCTGACATTTATGATAACTTTAATGGATCCATTTGCTAAAATTTATAGAATTTTGCACACAATTTTTTTTTAAATTAAAAAAGTTCTCTATCATCAAATAAATATTAATTATCACATTTTATAGGGCAAAAGTAAGACATGTGCCTAAGCAGCATCTTTAGTATGAAGAATGCTGACACTTATGATGACTCTAATGGATCCTTTTGCTAAAATTTTTAGAATTTTGCACACAATTTTTTTTTAAATTAAAGAAGTTCTCTATCATCAAATAAATATTAATTATCACATTTTATAGGGCAAAATTAAGACATGTGCCTATGCAGCATCTTTGGTATGAAGGTTGCTGACATTTATGATAACTTTAATGGATTCATTTGCTAAAACTTTTAGAATTTTACAACAAAAAAGTTCTACATTATCAAAAAAATGTTTATTGTCGGATCTACTAGTGCAAAATTAGGACATTTACCTATGTAGCTATTTGACACAAATGTTGACGTTTATGATTTATGAACCCCAAGAGCCATATAATGGTATGACTCGATAAGTATAAAATAAAGTTGTGAGAAAATGTGTTGAGTTCTATTGTAAAAGAAACCTGGACTTTCTATGGCTGATTTGAAGAAAAAAAATCAAGATGATTAGAGAACATTCAATGGTTTGCAAATCATAAATTGATAAAGATAAAAAAGAAAGTTTTTATTGAAGCATGTAATCAAAAACTGATTTGTTGCCCTCGACTTTAGAAATCGATTAACAAAAGTCGACTCATGAGAACGTGCCTTAAGGCATAATATTCTTAAATTGGTTTAATTCTCCTTAGAAGTTTCTTTGAGATTTTGGACATACAATGATTTAGGGGAGTAATGATACCCTACTGACACGTGATAATTAGTATGGCATGAATAAAAACATTAAAAAAAACTTACAGCGAGCATTTTCTGCTGTTCATGAGTCAATTCTTTCCCCTGGCTCATGAGTAGAGTTATGTTGAAGAGTTCAACCATGTCTGAAGTTTTGAAGCAGGATTGTTGTGGAATATACGATTTCAATGTGAAACCTGGCACTTTCATGTCAATAGCCAGTTTCTGTGACAGAAGAAAACTTTGAAATGTTGTTTCACAAAAATGATTTTCATAATGACATACTTGTTTTTCGTCCAGTTTGACATCACCGTCTTTCACAGATTTTAAACCTTTTTTTGTAAAGGTGCTTTCCACTTCGAATTCACATCTGAAGGACTTGCAGACGTAAGAGTGTTGGTAGATTTCATCGACGCTGTCCTGGAAGGAGACGCTAGAAACATCTGGGACGTCCTTCCTGAATAAAGGAAAAACTGATATAACAACTATGTCCTTGATGATTATGTTTTCATGATGAAATATTTAACTAAAACTAAACAGAAGTGACGTTTGAATATACTACTGACCAGAATCGCACAAAATCTCCCTCATGCGTGAATACAGGATTCATTGTTTTATATCATTACTTCAAGTGATTTTAATGTGTTTACCCTCTCTGTTGATAAACAATTGAAACCTTCCAGTTTTTGAACGAGACAGCTAGCACGTGTACAAATGAGCGGGAAGTTCAATTTGGCATATTTTATATTTTACAATCTATTCACAGGATTCAAGCCGATGTAGGTGAACTATTAAAATATATTAGTCTTTTCTCAGATTAGTTCTATTTTCCAAAATCCAATCCATCCTTTACCCAACATCCTCTAATTTTATTTACGAATGAACGTCCTCTACCTCATTCTCCTAGCTAGCATATCCAGTGTTTTTATTCCCCAATTATAATTCATTGGGAATCATACAACTTTGTTGTTAAATGTTTTTCTTCTAAAGGTTGCTTCTTTAAAAATATCTTGTTGGTTACTTTTTTTTTAAGAACAGTTACAACCGGTTGTCTTTTTTGTAAGATGTATACAGGGAGTATAACTTCTATAGTCCATCCATTTAATTCGCAAACGATTAACTTTAGCAAAACACGGTGTTATACATGCCTCAATTTAATTTTGACTAGGAATCGCGTGGTAGTAATAGATTTAACATAACTTTCTCATCTAGCTGGGAAATGGCACTATCTTTGTTATTTTAAATATGAATCCCATATTGTTATTGTACAATTGATTTTAGAGCTTATTTTATGCCACTTTTACTGCAAGGAAAATTTTGATAGATCGACCATCTGAGTTATGCTCAACGGAAGACGCGTGAGGGGGTATGCTTCTTGTAACAAGATGTCCCTCCCCGCTTATTTCGAAAACGATTAGCATTAGCAAGTTAATTTAGGATAGGAATCGCCTCAGAAGAGTGTTGGGATCATGGGGTTGCTTTACTCTTAGCTTGTATTAAGTTATGAAAAAAAAAGAACTCGTTACAAAAAAAGGATTCTTTTTATCATCATCCAGTCCATTTTATTTTTAAAATGACTCTCAGCTGTTATTATTTATTGTTGCAGGTTTGACCATTTATTAAAATTTATATTTATAATAAATGCTCAAATACGATACACAGGTGTTTGATGCGCAGAGCTCTGCTCATTTCAGGAATTCTTCATTTGAGGACTTTTATATTATTTCTGGGCAGATTTCTTTGCAAGCCACAACAATCCGTTTTTCCAATTCTTGGACAGTCAATACTGGAGATGGATACTCGATTCTTCAATGCCCCCCCCCCCCCAAGAAAGTAATCTAAGGGAGTCAAATGTGGCGACCTCGGTGGCTACGAAATAGGATCATGTGTGCCAATCCATCTCCCTGAGTGGTTCATGTCCAAGTAATTGGTAACGACCCGACTTTGGTGAGCGGGACAACCGTCTTGTTGGAACCACAGCTTTTGAATTCTCTTCATGAGAACAAGGCAGCTAGATGAGAAAGTTATGTTAAATCTGTTTCTACTAAGCGAACCCTAGCCAAAATTAACTTGGGGTTGGTATAAGACAATTTTTTGCTAAAGTTAAACGTTTTTGAATTAAATGGGTGGTCTATAGAAGTTGAAACAACCCTGTATATATGCTCAAGAATGCTGCTTCAATAACACACACAAAGAGGGGCTTTAACTCTCTTAGGCATCGAATAAATAAGCGACGGATTTCGTCTTATGAAACAGAATCCCATTCTACATCTAGAGCGATTTGAAGCTGTTTAACGCTTGTTGCAGGCGAACGATGTTTAACCCGTCTCTTTACATGCAAAATAATTGAACTTGACTTCAGCACGCAAAGGACATTGACCCAGAAAATAAGTTGTACCTTCAGGAACATTATAATTACATAGGCAACATTTTTTAGCAAAGGTATCTTTTTAGAGCCATGGTTTACAGTTTAAAAACAGCAGTTTTCTCATTAGTTTAAAAGCCAACGAAGCTCGAGGAAATTTACATAGGTCGTTAATTTTATTTTCAAATTCTTTTTATCATTAATATTTACTATAAGCTTTGTACAAAATGTAGCGATCAGACATAGAAACTTGTTGCCGAGCTTTTTGAATCTTTGATGCTTTTATTTTGCCAGGCAAGCCAATCAACTGGGATTCAAAAAAAAATCGTTCAAAGTCTCCGAAAAATCTGAATGATGCTGTTGTATCAAAGAAATCTATTGCTTGAACCACTAGAGATTTTTTTTAGAGACTTCTAAGATCTACGGCAGTGAGTTTTGGTAATCAAGACAAATGAAGCTGGTGGTTATATGAAAATAAGGGTTCATTTCAGTTTCTAGTGCTAGCATTTAGGGGTGACTGATGGGAAAAAGCAGTTTTTTGAGGAAGTTCCCAAACCTCGTAATATACTTCTATGAACTTTTATTTTAGAGTCCAAGGGTATGTTGGTCTTGTATATGTTTAGCCCACACCCTGTTAAATCTAAATTCGGTATGCGGTATTTTCTACTGTAAATAGGGGGTTCGAGAGGTTAGCAAAAGTCCCAGGTCTTGTATTGATTTATAACCTCATCTTTTTCTCCTTTAAAAACATATTTGTCACAAGCAGCTAATTTAGTACCATTGCGAAAAACAACTATTTTAATTTTGGAGAGGAAAAAAGTTTCTCTGTAAGATTGGATTGTCTGCTATGAGGACTGCGTCATCTGCGTACAGTAATATCTTGATTTTGCTACCTGAACAACACATAGACCATCAAGAAATAAAGAGAACAGGGTGGGACTCAGTACGCATCCCTCTTTCACGCCATCGCCTTTTAAAAAAAATTTAGAAATGTCATCTGACCCACGAACTGAAGATGCTGCTTGTGTATACAGGACGTTTAAAATGTTTTTACACTTCGAGGAAATGGGTAAAATGGATCATACAACGAGAAATGATCAAATGTATCAAAAGCTGATGTAAAGTCGATAAAACAGATTTATTTTTCTATTTTTGTCGAGAAGACTAATTTTATTGAGAATGGCCAATATAAAAATATTATGGATAGATAGATTATAGATAGATTTGGCATAAAACCGCCCTGAAACACTGAAAACAGATCTTTTTCTTCTATGAATGATTATAGACGATTTTTGTGAAGAGAAGATATTTTCGAAATAAAGTCCAAACAAGATATACCTCTGTAATTGTTTGTATTGTTAGGGTCTCCTTGCTTGTAAAGTGGAAATATCATATATATATTGCTTAATGATGGGGCAATTTCACTAAGCTACAATTTATACGTAGTTAAAGAAGTATATAAATTATGAACAAATTAGGTAAGTATTTTTATAAAATTCGTATGGCAAGCGGTCAGGCCCTGGCGATTTGTTTTTTCTAAGGCTTGATAATAATTATATTATGCTCATTCCATGAGAAAAGGGCATGCAGAAAGGTGCAGAGCAACAGTGTCGAAAAATTCAAAGGGGGCTTCAGCAAAAGCTCAAAATGTAAGCTTAAAGTTTAAGTCCTTTTAAGCCCGTTTGATTCATTCTTCATAAGTCTAAAAGCGCGTACAGGCCTTTAAAAAAATTCTGTCGGTCATTGTCACTTGGTAAGGTTGTGACATGAACTCGGTTCAACGATCTATAAATTATGAACGATGTTGATCGGTGACGCAAAAAATAAACGCCCTCCGATTTTAGTCGATGGCGAAAACTTGGTCGAAGAAGAGTATGCCAAGGTAAGACAGCATTGGACGAAATGGTTGGGAATTTTGTTTTTTTGAAGACTACCTCGTCGGAAAATTCACTTTTTGCATTAAAAAACAAATATGTGTTATTACAAAATTCTTAAAACGGTCAAATCGATTTTACAATTGTGTAAATGTAGATGTATGATTTTAATCTGTGTTTTTATGGTTTGCAAAATATGTTTTCAACTGTTAACTTCTTTTACACCTAGAGGAAAAAACACTTTTTAATCGAATAAAAACCAGTAGAAACCATCGAGCAGTCTTTTTGGTATAAACAGAACGCTGCTAGTCTTTCATGTATAATATGACACAAGTCGATATGTCCTTCGGGTTTGTTAAAACCTAATTTGTTCTGCACCGGCAAATAGTTATCGGTTATTGTCTTTCTGGATGGTCTTGTGCCCTTACATTATTGATACTCGAGGTCGAGGATAGTCGGAATATCGATCCCGCAAAATCATCCTTCAAATACGACGCATTACGATAAATTTGGAAAATTATCACCCTGTGCTGTGTTCAGGGTGCACACCCAGACTATCAGACGCGGGGAGCAGCTAAGTTGTTCTACCAAGCAGCTAGAATAGACAGACCAAGATGATCGGAAAATGAGTCAACAACAAATAATCTCATTGTAACCTACATTGCTTCCTGACTGACTAAAGGTGTCTGTATCGTTGCAATATTTTCCTTCTTATCTCCTGGGTACAGAGCTTATTTGCAATAATTTGGAATTTGAGAGGATATGTTCTGGTGTCTCATCCTACTTAACGTACACTGTTTTAAAGTTTTAAAAATCTTTTTCAACAAGATCAATATTTTTATACAATAATTAAGCAAGTCGTAGCAATGAACTTTTTGTTCGGCAAACAAATGGCCAGTTAGTCATTAAGAAAACATGAGGCGAAGAAGCAATCATTAACCATTTGTCTAATCAATTGAAATGACGTCCGGTCAATATTCAAGGGAATTTAAATGAGTAAACAGCCTTGTTAAAAGCAACGAATACTAAAACTAATTAAAAAAATACGTTATTTTGAAAACAAGCTGGAAATTTTAGAAATATTGGATCAAATATCAAGTTGTTTCACCCACATGTGTTTTTTGATCGTCCTAGATATGAATGTAATTTTTTATTTATAAACCCACTTGCTTTGTCAAATAAATCATTAAAAAAATTAAAAACAATAAAACAATGTTTTATAGTGTAATAACTTTTACGTTTCCAAAGTGAAGATTTAATCTATTTTTTTAGTCAACTTTTTTAGTATGCCACATCCGAAATATTAAAAAAAAACGCGATGAAATATATTTTAAATTTGACGACATTCACAACAGATTGAATACCAGGTTCGGAATCATAAAACACGTAAATTACAATATTAAAATTCGAATATTAAAAATCACACTATTCCTAATTTTGGCATCACGAGGAGCTGTGTTTGCGATGGAAAGCCGGTTTTTAATCACTCCGAAACATGTCTGCTTTTATGATGAACTGTGATCCAGTCACGCGAGTTTGCAGGTAAATTTACTCAGCAAATATACGTCAATCAAAACGTAAAAAAATCCTTAACGCTTATTCCTTAATGACGTTTAATAAATTAATATAAAGGCCAAGCGAGTTAACAACTTTTTGTTGGTTGAAGTTTGGACGTTTCCCGATCATTCTGGTCTGCCTATCCTCGCAGTTTGGTCGGTCATATGCACTTCATCATTTCACAAATTTCAGTGGAACAGAAAAAATATTACATCTTGATCGATCTAAGAACAATATTGGCATATGTAAAAACCAATGGCATAATATTCATTGTAATTTAAAATTAAAAAACACATTATGTGTTAAAAACACAATAGACCTAGTAGAAAAATTTAATAACTTAACTTAAAATTTAATAACATAAATTAATAAAAATTTAATAACTTACTTACTTACAGAAATAACCACTGAACAAAACTATTTTAAATTCAACAATACACCCAAGACGGTCTAGGGATGGGGAACCCAACATCGGCCATTCTTGCAGAGGTGTTGCTCCAAAATCTCTAAGATATTTATATATAGAATATCCAAAAAATAATGGCTGAGAACGGAATGCTCCATTTATTTAGATATTTCGAGGACACTTCAGACAACTCCTCACAAAAAAGCGTACTAAACAACCTTAACACAATACCCAAAAACATTACATTCACCTAGAAACTGAAAACAACAACATCTAATTCTTGGACATTCACCAGAGCCGATAATAAAATCGGCTTTTAATTATACAGAAAATCCACTGGAACCTACAGTATCTTAATCAAGTCCAATCTGCCACGTCAACACAATATTTCAGCTCTACGACACATGATTCACAGACTAAAAACTGTTCCACTCAACACTACGACCATTATATGATTTGACCATAATTTCTTAATCTACATACAACCTTCTTTCTATTTAAACATTGCTAGCAGTTGGTATCTTTGTTTTGTTTCTGTTGATTTGTGCTGTATCTATGTTTTTCCGAATAGCATTCAAGAGGCATTATAGTTAGTTCTGAGCCTTGGTATTAAACTGACAATAATGGAACGGATGGAGAATGACAGTAAAATTTTATCACTGATTTCCGCTTATTGTTTAGAGCATCTATTCTAATCGCATGAATGTTTTAATCCCTTTTCCAACAAAAGAAAATCTATTTCTTTTAAATCCACCTACTATTCGAAAATTACTATTATATTTGCCTATTTAGAGTGCACTTAATGCCATTAAAACAGGGGTTTCACCATTTAAATTTAAAGAAAATGTCACTTGCTCTATTTGATGTATAACTTGTGTTCCTGTGGTCAAAGTGCGCTTTTATTCAATTTTAATGTAGATTGTTATGAAAAGCCAATTGTAAACAACACGATATCAAAGAAAGATGTCGATACACTCGAATGCCAATGAAAAGTTGATAGGGTCATTTCGTTTGGCGTAATGTCTGAGATAATGCCACATTGCAATTAAGCCCGTTCGTCAAAAAATAATATAAAAAAAATTATTGGCGCAGTCAGGGATTATTATTGACCAGGTCTTCATTTATTGGACGTTGAGTAGACAGGACCCCTTCCACAGTGATTGTTGTTGGCAACGGACAAGTTTTGCCGGCAAAATCCTAGGCTGCCACCAATTGAATTACATGAAACCGGGCTGGATCGCTGCCACCTTCACATCGTCCAACTGGAGACAACAAGTGGACGTGCTGCTACGCTCAGTCACGTCGTTTCAATGGAATCGGAAAATTTTCGACTAAACACTTCCTCAGACATTCGACTCTGAGATGAGAATGTTTGTAAGTCATTGAATGAAAAATGCACGTTTCAAATATCAACTGATGTTCTACTTACAGAATTAGTCGTTTATAACAATCCGGATTTCGAACATTAAACGCTAATCATCAGGTTGAAGTTGAGAATTGTTGTAAACAACAAATTCTGTCAGTAGCACCATCATTTAAAAAAGTGGACCTACATATTCACCCCACCTTTACAATATTTATATTAAAGTTAAAAATTTTCCTTAGCCTTGTCTGGATCCGAAATTCGCGACTATTTCGACATTCTTGAACAGACTCACAAAAGGCCAAAAAAATAAAACAAAATTTTATTAATATCTTGACCATTAAAAACAAAACAAAATTTAATACTAAGAGAATGTAGCAGATTCACTTGTTAAAAAAGAAAATAACAACATCGTTAGCATTATTTGTTAAATTTATCATGTTTGAATATTATTATAACTTCCTATGTAACCATATGCTTCTTAGCCTTGGAAAATACTTTATTTTCAACTGCAATGAACATTAATATATATTTTTAATTTTATTACTATTTATTGTGGCATGCAATTTTACAGTACAACGTTCATTAATTCATAAATTTATGTAAAGTAAATGTACTTATTTTCTTTTTATATGAACATATAGTAAAACCTCATTATCAAGTCTGTTGTTAATTTTTTTTACATTAATTGTAAAAATCACTTATATCAGTGCGTTGATTATTAAAAACATATTTATAACTTCACTTTTTGTAAACGATGGTTCTATTCACAGAGTTTGAGTAAAACTATCGATTACAAAAAATGAATCGACATACTCACCCCACCTTTATTTTTTTTATATATTACTTGTAAACTCAAATAATAGGGATGGTTAGGTTTCAAATAAAATTAAGTATCTTTGCTAAGCAAAAAAGTCTTTTTGTCAAGAAACTCAACTTTCCACCAACATAATAGCAAAATTGATGATCAAAAAACATTAATAAATTAGGCTCATTAATTGTATTTTGATTAGCTCATAATTCATTGGTATATTTTTTTATCTCCTAAAATACTACTTAAACTCTTTAAAAATAAATTTAGTGTTGAGTATAGATTTTATTTCAATATATTGATAAATACATAATTTAAAAAATCAGTTTTGTAAGCATGCTTACAATTTTACAGTTAATTACGTTAAGTATAATAGTTAATTTAAGTATTGTAGGGTTATTTTATTGTTAGAAATGGATTTAAATTTGATAGGAAGGCGATTCTTGCAAAATGGCATTTATATCATAACATTAATAGCTAAGATATTTCATTTATTTCAGTTTACACGGAATTTTAAATAACTTTTTAATAACCAAGATATAGTTGTTATAAGTTATTTTTACAATTGACGTGAAACAAAACATAATTAAACAAGACTTGTTAATGAGGTTTTACTATAAGACGATACAAAAAATAAATAAAAGAATAGTTTTTTTTATAAAGATAGCCGCAACTTTTTCGTATAAAATCTATACTGTGCTATCAAATTGTACAATTGAAAATAGAAAAATGTATATATTTTTGCATAATTTATAACATGCTTTCATAATAAAAAAACGTGTTTAATGTGTCTATATTCTTGAGGGGGATTTCACCTTTCACCGAAATGCCTGAAAAAAAAAAAAAAATTGGACATTGATAGTCTATTTATTGTGGCCTAATATCATCAAGCTCTAAATATAATATTAGTTACATTTATTATTTATTTAGTATGGATAAAGAAAACATTATAAAATGTATAGATAGTCGTGGCTAAACCATTCAAATTTTTCTGAAAATACATACAGTAAAATGTATTTTGTTTTTTATTTATTAATCAATTTTGTAATATTTCATTAGAAAGTTGATAATTCAACGTTTAATATAATATGAAAATACTGAAAATGGCGAAATATTAAAACGCGTCTGACAGACCAAGAGGTCTTGATTGGTAACGACCAAATTACAAGTTCACACCCCACAGTTAGAGAAATATTAAAATAATATATTTTTTTACGATGGTTCACAATAGCAGTTCGCAGCAAACCTCAAAAAAAGCCCATTTGGAAGTATGTCGGGTTCGAATGAAGGGGGCTGCTGGATTCGAACACGTGACCTTTACCTTACAACGATGAGCGCCGTGTCAACAACTAAACCGTTACGGCTACCGACGCCCCTCTTCAAAATGATATTATTAGCATTTTTATATTTATCAATTTTACTAGATTTCAATTACTTTGTAAAACTTTCAACTTACCTTTTCTTCTTTCGAATAACAGTAATCGTTTGAAAATGCTAAGAAAATTAGTTTCCTTATAAACTTACATTCTAAAGTTAAAGAATCAACAATTATTGGGCGAATGAAATAAAACTTCATTAACATACAGAATAAGAATATTAAAAACATATATTTTTTCACTTCAAAGTAATCTATAATTGAAATCACTTCATGGATTGTTTACAATTGCAGTTCCGTGTATGAAGGAAAGCTTACTCCAATGGGACCATCTTGTTTAATTGAAGCCTGTTGCAGTCGCGTGCACTTCTAAGTATTGAAAACACGCTACTTCATCTCAGGAATCAGTGATTTTTCAGGCACGAAGATGTAAAGTCTTTCTACTGTTATGAAATACATACACATTAAATTAAAAAGTACGACCGTCTATAAACAGAACGGTTCAAGGATGATCATGAATAAACAAATTGCCGTTGACATAATGCGTAATGTGTTGAAATACAATCGTTTGACGACGTACTACAAGTTGGAAAACTAATTGACTCATTTATTTTTAATGAATACAGTCAATGAAGCCTACCCGAAGTAAAAAACGATCAATAGCTATAATTATTGTATATTTTCAAGGTGAATCGAAAAAGACCTGAAATGAGAAATATTATTATTAAAAAAACAAATCACGAAAAACAGGTTCAATATTTCACAACGAACTAATCACCCTTGAAATATTTAACATTAATTATACACTTTTGAATTTATGTACTTATAATAAACGTTTATCCCATAAAATTGTACAAAAAATTATTAAGTAAGAAGTTATTTTACCCTGTCTCGCACTATTTCTTGTTTTAAACTCGGGAACGTAGAAAAATTCCGATATCGTACAACATACTAAAATGATTTTGAACCGTTACTGCAAAAACAAAACTTCAATTGATTCCACTTAAAGCATTAGTTATTAGAAATATTTAGTACTTTTTTATAAATCATTTATTTGTAGCCTGTATACACGTATAAAAATTTCATATTACAAATCTGCGAGTGTTTTTATTTTATTTTTTGTTTTTTTGTACCCGTCACATCCAACACTACAGCCAGTCTACAGCCAACACTGCACCCGGAGGACACAGGTTAAGAGAAACCAGCTAAGGTTTGAGACGACGATTCGGTATCCAAGGGAAAGCGTAGATAGAAAGTGAGCAGAATGTTAAGGATGGATCGAAAGATTGTTGTGGACATTTTGGAAGCGGGATCTGATCAATTAGTTGTGAAAAGGAGTGCTAATGGCGTAGTAAATAGTGAGGTTAGCGACGTAGTTATGAGCTTTGACAATTTGTTTGAGGACTTTTGATTGGAAGCACTGGATGTAGAATTTCTTGGCGGAATCCCACAAATCCACTGCTTAGGCCCATAGTGGTCGCAGTAATATCTTGCATAGGGTTAGTTGAGTTTTCACGTTCAAAAAAATTTCAGTTCTAAAAGTTTTCGCAGTTAAGTCTATTATGGAGATGCCATGTCTATTTATGTGTATCAAGACTGTTTTTCAATGTAAATGTACACACTTTTGCTCATTCAGTCTTGTCCTCCGATTTTGGCACCAGTCGGTGATAAACTCAAGGTGTTCTTGGGTGCTGGGGTTAAAAGAATGGTTTAATTTTTGAAATTATGCGTTGGGAGTATGACAAGTAAGCAGAATACATTGAGTACAGGATGTGAACAAGAAAGGAACTTTAAGAAAATTAATAACCGTTTTAAATAAGTATTTATAGTTGTATTATTTATAAGCATAAAAATTTTGTAATATTTTTATGGTAGTTATTTTAAAATGGTAACACTCACTGCCTTTCACTGTCTCCTTCTCTCTCTCTCTCTCTCTCTCTCTCTTTCTCTCTCTCTCTTTCTCTCTCTCACTCCACACGTTCTCTCTTTCTCGACTCTACCTTATTTTAAATATTTTTATCCATTTTAACATTTTGAAGTTCATAATTCATTTTAATTTTTCATTTTCATTTAATTAACCTTACTGATTTATTTAACGGAAAGTTCTTATTGAATGCTTGAAACAATTCTTCTTTATGAATATAAAATCGAAAGAATTGTAATTAAACAAGTAATTTTTTTTCTTGCAATTTTCTGTTTTCCCTATGTACAATGCACGGAATATCATAACACGGAATATTATTACATTATTTTTATTTCTCTCATATTAAACTAGGAGTGAGCTTATTAATAAATTAACATTTTTTAATAATTTCCTTTTGGCCGTAAGGAAGACGAGCCGGGATGAGCGCCAAGTGGTCTCGCCGAAGCAAAATTCCTACCAGGCAGCCTACTGGCCTCTACGTCCACTCGAGCCCACCCACAGGTAAAACCATGTAGCAAAACCTGTCTTCCTACCATACTGAACATTTTGTATGTTGTTTCGTGATTTAGCGGTCCCGGTCCATCCTTCGATAGTACGTCAATGGCTGAGGGGAGGAGAGATAGAAAGGCTGATGGAACTCATCCTCCAAGGGGAAGGAGCTACCCTTGTTGGAGAATATTCACCCGACTCCAAAACAAGAGCCTTCATCAACTCTCTTCCCAGGATTTTAGTAATATACACAAGCAATCTCTTTTTATAATATTTTTTCACCAACTTTGGGTAACTTGTGAAACTATTAAATCTTTAATTTAAATATGGAGTTATTGAATGCATTAAAAATTCACTGTATTACTTGATTTGAGATCACCTGGTTGAAGAACCATATTTAATTTTCTTTGTTTCATTTAGGGCTTTCCTATAAGAAACATTTCAACATTAGTACTGTTTTAGGCTAATGCAGTACAAACTGCAATGGGTTCCTCAGTTTATAATTTGAAGTTTTGAATTTTACTATCTTATTTCTCCATATTTTTAAATTTTCTTAAATCTCTATAGACATTAAGATAAAAAGTCGTAGAAAACAGTATTGTTGAAAAATTGGAAACAAGTGTTCCATTCTTACTTTATATATATCCCACACCTACAAGAAAAGTGACACAACTCAAAAAAAAAAAAATTTTTACAGGGAGACAGATGGAAGTTTACTTACGTATTAAGGACACGCAAATACGGTTGTTGGCAATAAAAACTGTAATGATTTGTTTATATTTTCTTTCGTTTGTCCATGACCTAAGAGAAAACACAAAACTTTAAAAATCCATCTGTATTAGCCCTAAAAAATTACCTCTTTTAGAGTTGTGACACTTTTCTTGAATATAATATAAGTTAGTTTGTTTGCTCTAACGATAATGGTGGTTAATGAAAGACTGTAAGGGTATTAATTTTTTTGTGATATTAACAGACAACTACAAACACATACGTGAACCGAACAAACGTGCATAAATATCCTTATAGTACCTTTTACTAAGAATATTTATATGTGCTTTCCTCCTGGAGTCAGGACTAATTCGTTATTTAAAATACAAAATTAATTATAGAAATAAAAGTTTTATTGATTATTGAAGATATTGTAATTAAAACATCAACAAATCGTTGAAACTATAAAATAATGTAAAATTAAAAGACAAGCTTTTTAAAATATTATGAAAAAACAATATTAAATAAACATTCTTTTTGACCCAAACTAATTTGCTTTTCCCTGGAGTCAGGGCTAATTCGTTACATAAAGTACAAAATTAATTATTGAAATATAAGTTTTATTGATTATCAAATATACATAATTAAAAATAACATATTTAATCAAAACATTAAAAAAATCGCTGAAGATATAAAATAATGTAAAAGTTAAATAAAAAGACAACAGTGTTAAAACCAATATGAAAAACTAATTAAGAATGTTATTTAAAAAAAAAATGAAACTAAAATAATTCACGATCACTCTAGATCAAGGTATGGTCTCGAAGAGAAAAGCAAATTCAGTTCTTACTGTTAAGTTTTCGACCTATTTTAAGGTCATCATCAGGGCTAATATTAATTTCACATTACGAAAAACATATTTGTACAATTGATTTAACAATTGTAATTATCAAACTTTCACCCAGAGTGTTTGTGAGTGAAAAAGTGATCAATACTTCTAACAATGAAAACTAAGATTATTTTTCAAAATTAGTACTACCTTGCTTTTATCAAGAAGAGAAAAACGTAGCATAGGACCTAGGAATGCTGTAAGATTCAATTAACGCCAGGCAATCATCCTTCGTTGCATAAAATATAATTGTGGTAATTCAGTATTTACAATATGTTGATTTTCTGAAACATTTTTGAGCTGTAATTTTGAAGCTGAGCATTCATGATTTCCAGATTTGTTAGTGAAATCTGAAGAGCTAGAACTATCAGCATTATAGCATTATAGATCAAACCTTTCTTCTCATTACCTGTTATCAAAGTGCAACGAGAAGATCCAATATCCATAACATTCTGCCCTAAAGTAGTTGCCAAAGGGTGGAATTTGAAGACTGACAGACTATTATTATCATTAATTGAAAAATATTAATTGGTCAAGCGGACCACGAAAACTAGTGAATATATTATTATCATTGATGTTAGTTTCCTTCTTGTTGGTTGTCAACAAATTTAGAATCAGTTTGTCCAAGTGATGTGAAAGTAAATTTTATAAATATTTTATATGCATGCAAATAAATTTCAAATCATGAATGTATCAATGCTATAATTTGAAAATTATTGATCCCTTGACATGCAGGCATAGTTTATTAAAAATATTGGTTGGTTATTAAACCAACTGTGCCACTTTTCCTGATGAATACTCACACCGATGTTCCAAAGCTCGACACAGAACTAACATGTGCCACTTTTCGTGAGGTGAGATTGTGTTTCCGCTAATTCAAACGTGGCACATGGTGCTGCCTAGCAGCTAAGAGTTCACCTACAGTTGTGTAATTTTTTCTGTAGTATCACATACCCGAATACTTAAAACAACTAAATAATACGGTTTTTATAATTTTTCGATTTGCGGATGTGCGATATAATAGGGTACGTTTATGGGCCGACAAACAGCTAAGATCATCGCCGGCCCTCTGCGTGTTTTCCTTCTTTGTCTGGTCTTTCACGCGTATTTTGTTTAATATGCAGCCAGTTCAGCGTCTTGATCTTCTTACTGACTCTCTGCTTTAATATGCATAGTACGTCGATTTTCTAAAATACTAGCCTCTCGTTTACACCTCAGGTTGTGAAGTATAGAATAGACACAAAGCTACGATATATATTGCGCAGGGTGGGCGACCAAGACCCGAGGGGTTAAATGCCTGGGTAGACTCGTACCTCATCCCTAAAAGGTCCGGGACTTGGTCGGCTCACGTGTTCTACATAAATCTCTTGGACTTGTTCACAAACCCCAAGATTTTGGACCATTTTATCTCGGGGAGTGATTTATTGATGTCCGCTCCTTCAAAGATTTCAAACCTAGACCTAGCATACCTATCACACTCTGCGAGGTAGTGCCTCGCCGATTCTTCTTTTATTTCGCAAAAACGGCAAAAAGGATCTGGTAGAATACCCATTACGGAGAGGTGTCTTCTCAGTGGGCAGTGGCCCGTCAGGATACCTATCAGCCTTCTAATTCCCTTCCTTGAGGTAGAGAATAGCCATTTCGATTCTGCTGGTTTGATCACCATAACAAACTCTTTCGAATGCCTGTGTTTGGGGGATAGATTCGACTCCTTAAGGAATTGTTTCATGCCCCAGTTTTTAATACTCTCTTTCGCTGTGCTCATAGAGGGAGGTAATACCCGTTGTGGCCCGACAAACGTAGTATTAGAGCCTTCTTTGGCCAGGCTATCTGCCTTTTCATTGCCACGGTGTCCTTTATGTGCTGGTATCCAAATAAGGGTTACCTTGTTCACAAACCTGGAAGAGATCCTATTGATAAAAGTATTCGATGCATCTCCATCCGCTAGAAACATTGAAATCTATTCACCTTCACCCCCCCCCCAGAGTACTCGATATTCTTCGGGGGTTGAACCCACTCCCTTCTCGCTTATAACTTCCTTTTGCTCCCCAGATGTCACAAACTCCCATCAGAATATTCCATATTCCTCTGTTAAACTACTCCTTCCTTTCACGATAATAAATTACATTAATTCTAATACATTTAGATAAATACAACACAAACACGTACAGACATGACACAAACACTATAAGCATTTAAAAATCCTTATATCCCTGAAGTACCGGAACAGCGATCTGTGCTCGTTGCCCTGCCCCAAGATTACACACGAGTCTGACTTCTTCCTTTATAAGACAATGCTCTAGCAATTTTTAGTTCAACTAAAAGATCTTTAATATTGGTATATGCACTCCAGCGGACCAGCATACTGAATATGTGTGAACAAGATAGTAGACCTTTCCTAAAAGAACACTCTCACATTTGTTCCGCAAAAACATAAATTTGTCTCAGCCCTTTTCTATTTTTACAATGATTTTAAGTCCTTATTTTAGGATAAATTGTTAATAACTGGTCATTGCTTTATATCCTAACATTAAAATAATCGTCATAAAAAGTAATCGTCAGTAAGATTCTCACAAATCTTACTTTACATTTCTTCTATGAAATACGAATGAATCTTAACAAAATGAAAATGTATTGTACAATGCAATATATATTTTGTATAATAATTTTTATAATTTTATTTGTAAGTTAACAACAAAAGAAGATTAATAATATTTATGATAAGGCACTTATTTGTCGTAACAAATAACAGTTTCATATGTCATGTTCTCATAATTTATCATAGGTAATTTAAATAGAATTTATTTTAAGTAGCTTTCATACTTCTAAACGGAAAGGAATGTTGTTATTTGTTTTTTAAATCATAGTAGCCATTAAAGGGAATTTTGTATAAAACACATCAATAAATGTAATTCTTCGAACAGTTAATTATTACTCCGTCAATCCGGGTCAATCAATCGGTTTGAGTTTCTTTGAAATTTCATACGTTTTCATGTAATAGGTAACGTGTCCAATCTGATTCCATCATCTATCGACTTCCCTTTTAGATAAAACGTTTGTGAACGTCTGTTATCGATAAATGTCAACGCTTTCCTGACCGTAATAACAAATATGATTATATTGTTTATAACAAAAAATAACAAAACATACTAAAGATTAGTGAAATAATTATTTTAAAATATTGGCAGAGAAGGTTTTTTCTTGACATGAAACGTAAGAATAGGAAGTAAATAATAAACACACGATTTCCGGTCAAACAACGACCCCAGGCCGGTAACCCCGAAATCGATAATGTAATATTTTAAAATGCCGTTTGATATTTCAGAGAAGGATCGAGGAACTGCACGAGGCCGGCCTTCGTGGGCAGGTGGACGAGGTGGATAGCGTGCTGAGCCGGGAGCCGCGATTCCACCTGGAGCTAAGCACGGATTCTGGAGGACTTGGTCTGCTGCACAAAGCCGTCATTCACAACCACGTCCCTTTGCAGGAATGGCTCATCGAAAACTATCCGGACACAGTTCACGTCCTCGACAAGGTACTCTCAAATTTTCGCATCCAACACGTTTAAAGGTAAAAAAATTCAAATAGTCTTTTCTGGATTTATAAATGTAAAAATTAAGCTCGCGGGAAAAAATCTGCATTATTTATTTTTCTTGATGCGATTGATATCAGACTTGATATTATAGTTTGGGATCAGGCGAAATTGAAAGAACAAAAAACACTGTTTTTTCGTAGCTTTCGTGGAATATTTCTTCATCTGGATTTTGAAACCATTAATAATAACTTAAACGTTAAATTAAAAAAACAAAACAAATTTAAATATCTACATACAATATTCGATATTATAACTTCAAGAATTAGGAATTTATGAGTTGAGCTTAGTACAGCGGAAGAAATCTATCACCCGTCATTTGCATTACAATTGTGATTATTTTGGTTGAAGCCAACCAGGAAGCCAACAAAATCAATGTAATTGTGAATATTAGTCAATCAACCCACCTTCTACAATGTGATTGGTCGAAACGTAACCTAATAAAAGAAATCACATGATCAGTACAATAAAAATTGTCCATTATGGAAAAACGGAGTATAAAGTTTTAAAAAATTAATAAAGTTTTAAGCTCCATGCTTCTATTAAATGATGTTTAATGTAAAAACGGTAAACGGTCGGTGTTTTTGAAAAAAAAGCTCATCTGTCAGTACTCCTTATAAAACTGTACTCAGTACTCCCGCTGAGATTCGAATCCGGGACCCTTACAGAGATAAGTCGCCTTGTCACTAATTTTTAATTAAGTTATGCCCTGATGATGACCTTAAAATAGGTTGAAAGCTTGGCACAAACAGCTGAGACCATACCTTGATACAGAGAGTTCGTGAATAATATAATAGTCAGTGACCTGAAAAGTTTAGAGTCTAAAAATTTAAGACTCTACCTAGCAGAAAGACCATGCCAGTCGCGGCATTCCAATGAGAAGCTTGGTTTTAATGCCGGTCAATTTTGAAGTAAAAAAACGTGAATTACAACACAACTAAATATTATCGTCTTTTGTTGGTTATTATTTTAATTCTTTTTTTCCTTATAGTACGTCTCCATTATTATGGAATCGAAAAAGCTATTTGCCAAAAAGCATTGTGTGCGCTTTGCGTACATCAAGTTCGTTTCCACCGACGAACACGAAGAACGAGCCTCTATCTTTATTTTTGAAACGGTTTTGTTCAAAGTTCTTTTTAAAGTTGGATCGTTTTCGCTTTCCTCGTATTTCAGTTTTTCCTTAATTATTACCTTCTTAAACGAGCTAGGAGAGTCGTCTAGACTTCTTTTATTGGGATTCGTATTTATCATGAATTTTTTTTGGAAAAAAGTTTTGGAAGTAAAGTTTAATGATTTCATCTTTATATACATCGGGTTTACCTCCGCCCTGTGACGGGAGGCGGCCTCCACTAATTTTGGACATAGATTAAATTTGGTTTAATGAAATAATGTTATTCTTAATAGCTGACTAGAAGATGCTGGTCCTACGAACAAGCCACATGTGTATCATGCAATAAAAATTATTTAGCCAACGACAAAAACTGCGAGGTTGTAAAAAATAGGAAGAAATTCAATCCTCTAATGAATCAATATCACCAAATAAATTTGAAGCTCATAACTAATAAATAACGTAGTTAGATCGTTTCGGATTGTTTTGGCCTATCTATTAGAGCGTTTCGGCTTCTTGTCATCTTCATTGTTAGGTCTGGTAATAATAATAATGAAACGGTTTTATGTATAAATACGTAAAAATACACATGTGGAAAAATTGATGTGCTTGTTCTCAAATAAGATCTCGTCAAGACTTCTTCCCAACTATAATATGTCACAAGTTATACTCTTTAATATCACGTATGATCCTGTCATAGGAAGAACAGTGGCACACCTTCACAGGTTAATAAATATAATACAAAACAATGTTTGCCCTTGTAACAACACCTCTAAACAAATGGGACCTCACCGGTGTTTGTTCGTACATGAAAACTCCCTATTGAAATTCCTGGTGACGATGAGTGGTGAGTGTCCTCCTAAATAGAATAAGTGATTTGGTGTCAGATGATTAAGTCCTCAGATATGCAATGCTTTATCGCATCTATAGACTTTGATAACCTGTAGATTCAAATCATACACTTTAAATTAAATGACTTCATTTATTAAAATATTTATATTCAATACTAAACTGTTATCCAAAAGTCTTAAAGTTTTGTTCAAAAGCTGAGCATGAAAATAATGTCCTATTTTAATTTACTGGTGATATTTAAAGTTAGTCATTTAAAATGAAAAACGGTTATTGATAATTTCTTTTTTTATTTAATTGTAATGTAAACTTAAATAAAATTTAATGTAATGTAATTCTTAATAAGTAAATAAATAAAACCAAAGACATACACGCACAAGTACAACCACCAGCAGTGCACATACGAATTTTTTTCGGACTTTAAGAAAAAATAGATTAGACTAGTGCGAAAACCAGTATAACGACTATAAATCCTCAACTTTAATGCAACTTTCTTTCCTTTAATTGATTTTTAAGAAGAAGGATTTGAAGAACTTATACAACAAAATGAATAAAACAAGCTAGAATAGAGGTCTGGAAAATTTTCCATTACGTAAAAACCTGAGTGGCACAATTCGCTCGGCTTGCGTATCTAAATTTGCGTGACATAGGTGACAATCAGTTTCCGAGACATTCCCGTACGACATGAAGCACTCCTACATTGCACATATTTGCTATCTACGTAGTTATTTTTGTATTTGTATCTTATATATATATATATATACAATATTAACAAACTCTAAAAAAGTTTAAAAAAACATTTCTAGGTGTAAATATAAATAGTATTGAAATTCTTTTTTCCAAATTTAAAAATGAGTTGGACGGAAAGGTATTTTCAGACCTTCAGATTTTTTTCTTGGTGATGGAACAGCAAGTGATCCGTATCTCCTCAAATTCGAGCTACACGAATAAACGTTTTATGGTTTACTCTGGAAATTTCTGTGAGCACAACTATACTGCACGAACTTGAAATTTTGATGTTGAACTGAGCCTGAGGTTTCTTGTGTAATTTTTCTCCAAAGAAAGGTAAAAATTAATAATCAACAATTTTTTGTTTTTTTTTAAAGCGTCATTAGTTCAAGAGAAATTCGGCCGGGCCGGGCTAATAGCGCTATATATAGCGTTACAATAGTCGATTACGCATTCAAATGAATCAATTAAATTAATTGATAAATTTTTATGGTATTGCATTTCGGTATAATTCAGATTTTGCTCCCGATACTTGCCGGTAATTTACTTTCTATTGCGTTTGTATTGCTCCCTTACTCTTTCAGTTAATGTCTATCTCACTCTCTCCCTCCTCTCTGTCCATTATACATTACCCAAGCGGGTGAGTATTTTTTAACTAGAGGATGAAAATTATCAGGTGTTCTGTCCCCCCTGAACAGTTTATTAAAACCAAATTAATGAAATCATGTATGGATCTCATTCTTCTATCGGTCTAGAGTATAACTCTATTATGCAAATGATAACAAACAAACAGGAATAGTAACGCGTAAATAGCGTAACAAGTAATTGTGTATTTTCTAAAGTTCACGGCGCCCACATTATACTAAACCATCACGACTGGCAGGTCTTGTAAAACTGTCGCTCTCTTTCCCGTACTCTTTCTATGCATCACTTTCGCTTGCCTTCAGTACCTCCTCCTAAAAACTGAAATACAACGAAAGCGAAAACAATCCAAATTTAGAAAGAACTTTAAGCGAAACCGTTTCGAAAATGTAGATAGAGGCCCGTTCTTCGCGTTCGTAGAGGGAATCGAACGTGATGTAGGCAAAGCCCATCCAATGCTGTTCGGCAAATTACTTTTTCGGGACCAAAACCTTAAAAATGGAGACATACTAAATATAAGTATTAATAATATAAATAATAATAATAATATTTTATTGCAAAAAAGAAAAGTTATAAACATTACATAATATATAATTTAAAGTAAAATTACGGCATGGAGGGTCCGTCTGCCGGAGGTCGTTTTTCATTTGACTTAAATTTTTGGACGACACAGAGAAAAAAGTACAAAAGAAAAAAAGAAAAAATTGATCCTTAAATTAATATTACAATTGATAATTTAAGTTTTAATAATTACATTAATTACTAACATACATTATAAACAATAATTTTTGTTCTTTGTTTATTTTACAATAAGTATAGTTATATAAATTATTTGGGCCAGCAATTTAGAATGACAAGGCTTTAAAATATTTAACAATTAAATTCTAATATTAACTCTTGGCGATAGTGCCAGGCGTGGCGAGCATATTTGATTAAATTTTTGTAATCATTAAGCAGTAAGTCAATAACCTGTGTCACGTTCAATTTAGAAAAATTTAGATGCAAAAGCCGAATCTCCGATAGGTTAGTGCATTTTGCAATAAAATTAATAAAAACTTGAATTACAACACAACTAAATATTATAGTTTTTTTTATGTTACTATTTTGTTCACGAAGAACAATATAAGTATTATAGGAAAAAATAAATTAAAATAATAACATCACCAAAAACCTATAATATTTAGTTGTGTTGCATTTCAAAAGTGACCGGCATTGAAAATAAGCTTCTCATGGAATAACGCGACTGACATGGTTTTCCTGCTAGTTGCGGTTTTAAACTTTTATATTTGAAACTTTTCAGGACACCTAGTAAGACAGGAAATGTATGCTTTTATCTGTCTGTCGATATCCTAAAATGCTAGCTTCTCATTTGTACCTCAGGTTGTTAACTACGGGATAAACATAAAACTTACAATATATACTGAATATTATATTATTCACGAACACTCTGTATCAAGGTATGGCCTTGAAGATAAGAAAAAATCAGTGGTTTCTGCCAAGCTTTCGACCAATTTTAAGGTCTTCATCAGGGCAAAACAATTTACAGGCGATCTCAAATTTCCTTGAAGAACGACTCAGTCCTAACATTGCCACGGACTTAAATTATTAGCTTGAAAGAAAGGGGCATTATATTGAGTGTAATAATATTTGAATATTAACTATACAAACATATAAGTCTGCATATATAAACTCCCTTTGAAGATAATAAATTATATCCGATCCAATAAATTCACATAAACACAACGTCCGATAGAACATAGAAGTCTGGTCGCATTCATTTTCACAGATTACTCGATATTCTTCGGGGCGAGGTTAAAAAATATTCTTTTTTCACTCTAATAATAATATAATAGTATTCATAATATAATAGTAATCTCAAAACTAAAATTAAAATAAATTTTTTATAAAACTTGCGCACTCCTTCAAAAACTTCATTATTAACAGTGATAAATCAACATCAATGCATCAAATGTTGTTTTTAATTGATAACAGTATCGGATTAATGAAAAAACTTAACTTTAATTCGTGTGAGGGTTCTTTATTCTTAGACACATTAAACAATGTATTACTGACGCCATTAATTCCAAATTTTCGTCTAACAGTAAATCTTGCCTTTTTCATCTACAAAAAAGTGATTTAAACCGATTAATACGAAACCTTTACAACCCCCACAAATATCCGAAATCGGTTCAGCCAGATGTTGCCTAATGTTGATCGGAGGAATTCTAATCAACGTGGCAGGTGATGATTTCCCTCGCTAAACGATACGTTGGCGATGGCGGGATGGCGTTCGGGGGTGGTTTCGGTTCGCCAGGTGGGGGTGGTTTTGGGGACCGGGTTGCCCAAGGACGTCCAGTTACCGCAAAGCCGCTCCCCAGGAACCAGCCAAGGTAACGGCCTCGACAAAACAGAAACAAACAGAAGCGCACGTGTGAACTAACACTTTTCAAAAAATTAAACACTTCACGCTGTGTGTTAATAACAAATATATCAATAAACAAGTTATAATTAAAATATTTTTATCGTATTTATCGTTACATTTATATGTAATAGCATAAATACCTGTCTCAAAAAACCTTCACAAATGAGCAACCTGTGGAAAAAGTTTACCTTTATCATAAAACGTAAATCAAATTTTTCAAAAGTTCCTAGGGCCTTAAAATCAATAATACTTACAAAATTGCATATTTTCTTTTAGTCCTTACTTAAAAGTTGATAATAAATATTCAGCAATATTAAATTAAAATTAACCAGTATTGTAAAATGTTAGGAAACAAAAATGTACTTTAAAACGTAATATTTTTATTGAAAGAAAAATATTTATTATTTAGTATGGATTAATACAACTGTAACTAATAACGTATAACATTAATGCTAATTTTTTTATCTTGAATGCTATAGTTTTATAATTATGTTTTTATTATCATAATATATCAGAAATACTTTTCAAGTTTTATTTTGAAAAATATTCCTACAAAATGCAAAATTTTAGTGAACATAGCGTATCACAAAATAGCTTCCACGATTTACTTTTACCTCACCACTTAGTTAATTGTACGGCCTTTATAAATCACAAATTTTCCAAAAACAACTAGATTGTTTTGAAATAGGATAAAAATTATGATTGGCGGACGTTAAGCGCACAATTTAGAGGCGATCCTATTCTAAAGAATTTATGACCATTGTAGTAAAACGTTACGTGTTCGGCGATGGTAGATCCAATCATTATCGATTTTGCGTCATTTTCAGTGATTTCGCGTATCAACCATTGGTCAGGGCTTCACCGTTTAGAGCTTGGTAAAATAAAAGAAAACGTCGAAAGACTTCATTCCGAGTTGGCGTTTGAAAGCTGTACAGACATTGACGTATTGTCAATAAAAAATGAATGTCGTCTAAACAAACGTATTGGAAATATTGACGTTTGCGTTAAAAAGTTCATTTACTTTCGATTGAAATACGGCATCGTCAAACGTGAAAAGTAGGGAGTATTATGTTTTATCCTAATTCAGTGTAGTAATGCCCGATTTAGGTCTTTGGCTTATAGCTATTCAACATTGTTTCTTTGTTTAATATCAATCACAAAGTTCTTACGTGTTTCTTAAAGTGATGGTTCTTTTTTTGTTTGATGTGTTCAATTATTGAGCAAATATTTACCTTCTATGATAGTCCACGTTATTGCATTGAATAATACAATTTCGCATGTCCGATCGCTCGTTATCGTTCATGTAATGACTGTATTTTTGTTAAGTCCTGAATATTTGGTGGGAATATTGTTTCTTGAAGGCTAAATACAAAGGTAGTCTTTGAATTTTTGAAAAGTCATTCTACCAACATCTTCCGATCTTTGTGGAATGTTAAATTTAACAAATGGTTTACAACCTAAAAAAAACGATAACATGAATTTTACTATGTGTTGTAATGCATGTAAGGATCAAAATCTTTCCATCCTTTTTCACTTTATTTGTAATGCTGTATTGACGGCGTAAATGTTCTCAATAAGTGTTTCTCCATATGTGTAAATGACCTTTTTCAAATCCGTTATTTCAGGAGAAAAGAAATCCGCTTCACTACGCCGGTGGCTGTGTTAAAACTTGGAACAGACTCGTCGAGGCCGCGGCTGACACGCAGGCTGTCGACTCGGAAGGCAACACGCCCGCATTTTACATGCTGCACCCGAGACGACTGCGCCCTCCTTTGCCGGACACCAGGGCCCATAAACAGGAACAAGGTAGATCAAATTTTTCAATACCTATAACTGATCACGCTATAAACGAAGGAAAATTATTAACTAACCTAAAATGAAGTATTTCATAAAATGCTGTCACCTTTTTTCTATACTCTTGGGCAATATCATTTTACATGTTTAATATATATCAGGTTTACACACACATACACACACACATATATATATATATANTTAAATGAACACAATTGAATGTTTGAATGTTTGATATCAATAATTTTATTTAGCCATCATATTAAAGTCATTCACTACACATGCAATATTATTTCTGTTTTGGATTACATTATATTAAATTGTAATTACTGTTGTATTCCGCGTTAAATTTATTGCAATACTTTTGGATTATCCATTGTATCAATGTTTTTCGTGATGCCACAAAAACCATTTCCCCATCCTGGAGCATGCAACGTATAATTTTCCATGGGAAAACAAAGGGTTCTTCAAATTCAATCCACATAATAGCAATGACTGACCATGTGATTTGTTTATCGTCTGTACAAAAGCCAGTTTAACTGGAAATTGCAATCATTTGAATTGGAAAGACGCTTCTGTTGGCATCATTGGTACATGTTGTATTAACACATCTTCTCTTTTGAATTTTAGTAAGAATATTAACGTTATTCTACGAACGTTATTCTATCGTTTCGGTGGTATTTTAAACAAAGCAAAATGCAGTTCTATGACAGAGTCAAAAAGTCAGAATGTAAGATTAAAATAATTCATAGTACAGTAAGAAACTTACAACATAATATAAACACAAAAACTTACAATACTAAGATAATCTAATTGTTGATTTATTTAAGCTCAAATCCGCAGATGCTCGTGAATAAACACACATTTGCAGAGTTGTGCCTATCACTTCTCGCAGTCCACCAGCAATTCCAGTTTGTAATGTACAGTAAATTACCGGCAGGCCTCGATAATCTCGCTCCTCCGAGATTGGGCTCGGTGAGCTGCAAACAGGTCCTTTCATCCCACAACGCAATCAGTTCCTAAAAAATACCTCACCCCCACTATATAAGTATCTATTAATTTGTATGTGTTTTCAGTATATACAGATGTATAAACCGGGCGTTTCCCAGGGGGATAATAGAAAGTTTATTTTAAACATTATTTGGTTTATGCATATTGCTTAATTAGGGTATATATAAATTAAATGAATCTAATCGAACGTATATACGGGTGCAAACTTTATTCATAACTTCAAAAACTACAACTGGATGCAAATTATATTCAAAATCTAATTCTACTGAAATGCAAAACCATCAAGTTTTACCAATTGATTTAATCGATTCATCTGTATGCGTAATCGACTATTTCAGATTGTTTCTTTGGATCACAATAGGGCAAAGATTGTCACCAATTTCAGGTAAATGATTGCGGGATGATTTTCATGTTTTTGTTAAAAAAGTACTCACCTGCATCAGTAAAGTTGGTAATTGGGGAGTGAGGGGAGAGAGCGAGAGAGAGAGAGAGAGAGAGAGAGAGAGAGAGAGAGAGAAGAGAGAGAGAGAGAGAGAGAGGAGAGAGAGAGGAAGAGATGAACTGGAAGAGTAGTGGAGCAATAGAAACGCGATGAACTGAAGGTGAGCGCAAGTGATGGATAGAAAGAGTACGGGAAAGAGAGCAACATTTTTTCAAGACCTGCCAGTCGTGATGGTTTAGTATAATGTTCGCGCCGTGAACTTTAGAAAATACACAATTACGTGTTACGCTATTTACGCGTTACTATTCCTGTTTTTTTGTTATCATTTGCCTAATGGATCTGCATTATTGATAGATAGAAGAATCGGATAGATACATGATTTCATTAATTTGGTTCTAATACACTGTTCAGGGGGGACAGAACACCTGCTGATTTTTCTGTTCGAATTTAAAAAAACACACCTGCTGGGTAAAGTAAAATTTACTAGAGAGAAAAGAGGGAGAGAGAGAGATAGAGAGGAAGAGATGAACTGGAAGAGTAAGGGAGTAATAGAAACGCGAGAAACTGAAGGTGAGCACAAGTGATGCATAGAAAGAGTAAAGGAAAGAGAGCAACAGTTTTGCAAGACCTACCAGTCGTGATGGTTTAGTATAATGTGGGCGCCGTGAACTTTAGAAAATACAAAATTACTTGTTATGCTGTTTTAACGTTATATTAATGGATCTATACTATAGATAGAAGAACGAAATAGATGCATGCATTCATTAATTTGGTTTAAATAAACTGTTCAGGGGGGACAGTACACCTGATAATTTTCCTGTTCTAGTGAAAAAAGTACTCACCTGATTGGGTAAAGTTGGTAATTGGAGAGTGAGGAGAGAGAGAGAGAGAGAGGGAGGGAGGGAGAGAGAGAGAGAGAGAGAGAGAGAGAGAGAGAGAGTCAGTGTGTATTAGAGATGAACTGAAAGAGTAAGGGAGCAATTGAAACGCGAGGAACTGAAGGCGAGCGAAAGTGAAGCATAGAAAAAGTACGGGAAAGAGAGCGACAGTTTTACAAGACCTGTCAGTCGTGATGGTTTAGTATAACCGAGGCGCCGTGAACTTTAGAAAATACACAATTTTTTATGCTGTTTAAGCGTTACTATTCCTGTTTGTTATTATTTGTATAATGGAAGAACACCTGATGGTTTCCGTTCGTGTTAAAAAAGAGAGAAAGCGGAGAGAGCGAGAGAGAGCGAGTTAGAGATGAACTGGAAGAGTAAGGGAGCAATACAAACGCAATAGAATGTAAATTACCGGCAAGAATCGGGAGCAAAATCTGAATTATACTGAAATGCAATACCATCAAGTTTTTCTAATTGATTTAATCGATTCATTTGCATCACAATTGGGCAAAGGTTGCAAAAAAATTGCTGGACTTTCGTGTGTGGATTATGCTTAAGTCGGAAGTGTACAAAATATACATTGAGAACAGAAACTACCTGATTGCAAGGGTTCGGGAATCATGTGAATAGAAGGCCATAACTTACACATTAAAGCAAAAAAAGAAAGTGGAAAGTAGCAACTTGAATTTACTAGTTTCGACGAGTAAACCCTGTGGGACAGGAGTCTCACTGCCCAGTAGGTCGTCAGGCCACTGTCACTTCAACTTCCTGGAAGGAATATTGGGAATGGGATGGGAAGATAGTACTAAGTAAGTACTAAGACTAATATTTGGGTATAGTGAAAGGAATTTGTGGAATTTTGTGTACCGGCATGCTTTGACATCTGAAAGTTGTGTACTGGGATGTTATGACATCTTTCACAAACAAAGGTTAAGGTTATTATGGACTGTATGACTGAATGCACAGAAGGGGGCGTTTATTACTTTTCAGAGGATTGCGGATTGGGAAATGTGAATGCGATGAAAGTTCGAATGTTTGATTGAACCCCATAGTTTGATGCTGTATTTCTAAACCCGCTTTAGTATCGTTGTGAAGTCAGTTTGTCAAAATTCCTGAGGCGTTTTGTAACGTATAGTTAGTTCAGTAGTGGTCCCATTCCATAGTATTTTGCCGATCTACAGTCTAAGGAAGCGGACATGGTTAACTTTGAAGGAATATGCGATGTAGGTTTAGTAGGAGCATGACATTAAAACCTTGAAGTTTATTTTTTAAAGTTATTAGAAACTTGTACTGGCGAGAGTGATTATGTCAATATAAGATATTTTATTTGTTTCCAATGTAATAACTATCAAACATGCAACATTGTAAAATTAATTACAGCTTTGTTGAATTATTAACAGGGAAATGTTGACATTTGCAAATCGATAAGCTGTGAAATCGATCAAGCCAATAAACGTGAGTCAGAGTACTTCTGAATTCGGAGAAAAACAATTTTCATTCCTACAGAAAAAATTGAAAACGTACAAAAAATAATTACATTGCGCCATAATTAATAAAATTAGTTATCTTGTGCAAAGATTTTGGCATATCATATTAAATAATACTTAGAGATGGAAAGAGATGTATGTGTGTGTGAGGAAGAGAGAGAGAGAGAGAGAGAGAGAGAGAGAGAGTGAGAGGGTGAGGAAAAAGTGTGAGGGGCAGAAAAAAATAGATTACTTTTTAAATTAAAAAACTTTAATACATTCAGCGTTATAGTATCAATGTACCATAATCAAGTAAATTTGTTTTTAAATATCCTGGTCTTGAATATACACTATTGTTATTAACATTTTATTATAATTACATCTATTGTTAATACGTTCGTTATTTAACATAATTTTTTGTAGAGGATTGATAACACGTCAGTCACAAGGTCGACCACTCGCAGGAGATTAAGTTTGTTTTTGGCCTTGTTCTTTTAAGTGTATAACCATGCCTCTCTTCTTCTTTTTTAGGTACTTTATTTCACTTTTATTTAGTATTCATTTCTAGTTATTATTATTTTGATTGTATTAAATTTCTATGTGGTTTCTACCCATAAGTACACCCATGGCGTTGACTAATTTTTGTTTTACACCCTACCCAATTGCATCTTGTGGGTAGGGGGTGCAATTATTTACTATTTATGAATTCTTCTCTTCCCTCCGAGATGCGAGTACAAGACAGTAGAATATGATCGGCATCTTTCCATATCTCTACGTTGCACGCACATGTTGAGGTTTGTCGCAAACCTAATCTGTATAAGTGAGGGGACAGACTATTGAGCCTGGGGGTTGCCTAATCGTAATCTGATTATTGCTGTTAGTGCCTTTCTTGGTACAGTGAGAGTCGAGAACCAAGCCTTGGGAACTACTGCTGGTTTGACGCATATTTTTTACTTTTTACCTTTGTTGTTGTATTGTATTCCTGATATTTTCTTATTTTATTTTCTATGTCAAATACTTTCATATTATAAATATAAAAGTATATATATTCTCTCTGAACAAATGATTCAGTTGTTTCTTTTTTGTACACCAAATTATTTATACATGATGATTTGTCACTCGTACGCCAAGTTTGTCAGATGCTTCTACACTTAAAATGCAACAAAACAGTTCGTATAGTCCTATGGAACCTTGATCAGATTCTCAACCCGTTCGCAGATATTGAACATCTAAGGCTTGCGTCATAAATCTACTCGTATCTCTTGAACTTTTATTTTTGGAGAAATTAAAAAAAAACGAAAAAATCATTAAATATCTTTAAGGAAGGTATCTTCTTGAACTTTTAATTTAATTTCTTCGTTTAATAAGCCGTTTTACAAAGTACGTTCTTTTACTGATTACATTTTAATACATGCAATATTATATAGAAAAATTAAATTTTACTATAACAACATTGAATGTTTAGTATATCCCATACTGTTCATAAAGTCTACTTGTTTGTTGGACATGTACTTTAACTTTTAAAATAGTTTACGCGATTTTATTCTTTCTAATAAAAGATTTTAACAAAAGCAATATTAATAAACACAATAAACAATAATATACATAAATTCATATACATAAGTACAACACCCTTTTCTAATCAAGCCATTTCCAATCTCCAGTAGAGCTCATTGAAAAATGGTGCAATGCGTGGAAGATGAAACAGAATAGGGGAAAATTCACCCAAATTACGCTCACGTTAAATAAACAGCTTTGCCAACTATATACGTTAAAGTAAAGAACTACCGACATCTACACAACTAAAATGCTAAGGGGAAACACAAGCAAGAAAAACTAAATTTGGACAACAAAGAAGAATCAGACCGAAATCTGGCAAGTAAAGGAAAAACTAACGTTGTACAAAACACTAGTTCGACAATTTGGACATGCGGACCACCAAGCCATCTAATATCCTGCTAAGCCAAGCATGCCAATCAAAGGTCCTCAGAAGAAGTCGTCCAAACTCCTTACAATTCCTATCATTTTCATATTTAAAGAAGTGATGCGTTCAATTATCACTCCAATTATCACTCATCGTAGCCCTACTGTTCAAGCCTTCTCCACTACTTCCTATCCCAAGAACTCTCCTCATCTCCTCAAACGAATGTGGGCCCGAAATTCCACCTTCTTAACACGAAAGTAAATTTAATTCCAGCATTCGTTGGTTCTAATATCACGTTTCCTACGGTGCAGTGCTAGCCATAATATTCGTGTTGTAGCCGGGATTTTATAGCATAAAGAACAATTTATAAAGTGTATAATTCACGTGGAGGATACAAAATAAAATAAATGTCATTAAAAAACCTAATAAATGAATTAAATTATACGTCCAATAAGAAAGGTAGTAGTAAATACGTACGCACTAAACCTTTAGTAGTGTTATCGCCCAGCACAATTAAGTATAATCAATTTATAATTTAATTTATTCTACGTAATATTACATGTAATATAATTTAATCAGTCCAAAAACATTCCTTCTAATATGGCCTAAAAATTTCACATAAAAATCCATAATGTAATAAATTAATGAAGGATAATTTAAAAAAATAGTTTACCCTTATATTACTATTCAATAGACAAACAATCACAACACACAAATACTGCTTTGATTTTTACTTTTATTTAAATAAAATAATTGTATTGATTAAAAGTTATTATTATGTATAAATCAGAATTGCAAAATTGAAAACCTTAAAAAACGGACAATTTTGGGTTTTTTTATCCTCGCTGTTCGCCATGTTCTGTCAGATGCGTTTCAGCATTTCGCATCTTCAGTGTATTCATATTAATCCATAATTTATAAAACACATTGGAAAATTGGCATGTAAAAATATAGTAGCATTTGAATTCTAGGCTCATCGCGCTGCAGACCACAAGATGAAATCTTACAAAACATATAATAAAAATAAAACTCTCTAAATAAAACTCTCAATATTCACGGTGTAGTTACTTGTATTTCATATCCGTAAGAATCCGTTTTGTAATTAATACTACGAGTTGTTAATAATTCACTATCTCAAGTCATTGCTCTAGTTCGATTCGGCTATTCAACCTTGAAGTAAAACTTTTCCCATTCTAAAAATGGTAAAAGGCATCAATTTTGGTCGTTTTGATCAATGAAGTTTTTCGCATCAGTCTCGTCCGCGTTTCCAATGCGACATGTCCCACGACAGAGGTAAGAGAATATTCCATTTGAATAACTCAACAAACCCAGGCTTAAGAAATATTAGTATATCAATTAGACTAAAATCTTTTATATTTTTAATTATATAGACTCAAAGACAAAATAACTGGATTTATCGTTGTTTTATCGTTATATTGTATTAATTACAACACGCTTATTTTAATATAAACCAAATTAAAAGGTAGTAAATTATTTAATGACGGTGTGAGAAAAGAAAATTCACCAAAACAACGGAAAATCATTTAATAATAGATTAAAATTTAACTCGAAGTTTATTACATTGTTTTGCTTTAGTTCATTATTAAGAGCAAAACCAGGTGATTAATTATTAATTTTTATACGGCTTTAATGTAAATAATAATATAAAAACTAAAACTAACACAAATGATTGTTATTATGTTTTAAATAAATACTAGCTTCAGAGCAGACAAAGTAGTCAAGGAATTATTGCCATGCCGCCAATATTCAACAATACATAAATATAGAAGTTTTTATTTTTGGGGGCTAATTTATATCCTACTTTTGTGTATTTTGTGCTGCTTTGTATTTTGTTTTACTGATTACTGATTTATATAAGTTCAAATTTGCGGACGCGTCTTATATACAGAGTTGATCCTATCACTTCTCGCAGAACACCGGTAATTCCAGCTTTTGTGTAATTTACAATAAATTACCGGCAGGTCTCGAGAATTAACCACCCGGGATGTCGACAGTCTGACGTCAGACCTCGGTCTTATCCGTCTAACCGCCGAGCTCCAGGGGTTACCAACTGACAAGATAGTTTCTCACCTCAAAACAAGAGGAAACAATATTGTTAAACATTTCTTTTGCGAGTGACATACACGGAAATAAAAACGCTGTTTGTGTTTAAATAACCAAACCATAAAATAAAAATTAAATGCTACCCAGAAATTGTGAATTAGCCAAACTCATTTACATAACGTATCTATCAAATCTTGAAAGATTTACGTGGTGTTCAATAAATTTGAACAATATCCTAAACAGTAGAAAAGGATATAGTATTTTTTTAAGTAGGCCAAGGCGATTAAGGACGTCGCGTAGAGTGGTACATTGCCCAAACAAATAACAAACCGGCCCTTTAGAATTTCATTTGTTTCCACAACCATTTTAGCGTGTCCAAATCACGAGAGATTTTAATTTAAAACTTTTTAACAATTTATAAAAATAATTAGTTGTTATCGATTTTAGGTGGGCCTGGGTATCAAGGATGGTATAATTTACAATACCTATTGAACAACAAAGAATCTTAATTAAGGAAAACAAAGTATTAACATTAAAACTGTCAAGTTAACAATAAATAATTAAGGTTTTTAGTCGAGATAAAAAAGTCAATGGCACGAGCGGGATTCGAACCCACGATCTTCGGCTTGATACGCCGCTGCTCTACCACCTTGAGCTATCGTGACCTCGATCCACTCGGACACCAACTTCCCATCTCAACCGCACCTTTTGAATTTTCCCTCCTTTTTGCCATTTTTGAATTAATTGGTCAAGCGGACCATGAAAGTAGTGAAGTTAACAATAAAGTTAAAATTTATAATTATGCAAAATTCCTTCAAAGCAATAGATTGTATTATTATAATTTTCGGCACACAAATATTAATAATCTAATCTTTAATCCCATTATCATTAATTCATAATAAGCCCCCCATTTAAAGATGTATTTAAATTTAAATACTACGGAAAATGCCCAGGAGACTGTTAAAAGTATTTAACATATGATGGACATTTTGTTACAGGCCTGGTGATCAAGCCTTCCAACATTCGAATATGGATCCACGACAAGGACCTAGGACGTCTCCAGAGGGTGCTCTGGGAAGGTATGGGGGATCGTCTCAGGACGGAAACAAGCACCCAACCTATGGTCAGGAGGTTTCTAAACGCTGTACCTTACATCATGGTTTGTTGGAATGTTTTATACATAACTATTACATACATAATACACTAATAGTACAAAATAGAAGTTAAACCGTTTACTGAAATAGTCTCAATCTATAACTACATTATTGTACAAATAGGAAAAGGCAAAATATAAAGATATTCAAATAAAATCAGATTAGTTATGATTATTATGTACTCTTTATGAAGTATTTGTGAGCTCATGTAAGAACACAAATACTACTACTACGTGTACTAAATGGTAAGCCATGCATCTCCATTCCTGCTTATCTTCAACAATGCGTCGATACCTCAGCACATTTAAATGTTTAATGAAATTCTCCACGTCATCCAACCATCTCATTCTCGGCCTCCCTTAACCTTTTTCCATATGAATTTTTTGTCAACAGCTTTTTCTGATGCTTTGGCTCTGGCCATAATTACACACGCCAGCACTGCGTTACTACAAATTCTTTAGCTTACATCCTCATGGCTGGACCAAAAATGTTTCCTACAATCTATATTTCTCAAATATTGAGATTCACTTGCTCTATCTGTATTATATTCAGCTCTATAACGATGCTATATATAGCTATAAATAACGATGAGACTCACAGTTGTATAAAATGCTTGAGATTAATCCGAATGACTTGTTGGAGATCGTGAGGTGCGGTGTGGTGAGACGTAGGTTTTAGAAAAAATTTTCTTTATTATGCCAACGTTTCGATCTTTATTGGGATCATGTTCAGGGCTCAAACTGTTTGTTTTCCGTGTAGATGTGTCATTCTTGTCTGTCGTGTTGAGAGTGCCGGCACTTTGAACCCTGAAGATGATCTCACTAAAGATCGAAACGTGCGCATGATAAAACCTACGTCACTCCAAATAATCATTGGCTAACGGTCACTAAACACCATACATTAATCTAAATAGTGAATATTAAATCTACTTTATGAAGTTATCGTAGAAATTATATTTTTTGTTTTTGAAGTGCAAATTATGACTTCTATATTGTCTTTGAATTCCATTTAGGAGATTGAAAGTTGGATGCTGGATTTATAAACGGTCTCACATCACATTTTTTACTTATCAACAAAAGTTCAGAATCATTCAATTTACCACCGTCCCACCGTGTTTTGTTCTACAATTTATAACATCAATAATAGCAAAAGAAGGCATTGTCTGTTCGGAGGGCCAATTGACTCCGAAGAATAAAAAATAGGCTCTTATAGATTCCATAAATATCTAAGAGACAGATTGTCATTTTTTTATTGACTGACGGCAGATTAATCGTCCAATAGAGCCCACACAGTTTACCAGCCAGTCATGTACTTGTCACAGTTCCTCCAGGAGTACTTCACCGAAACGCCCTCGTCTGTAAGTTAAATTGGAGACTACAATAAATAATACGTGTGTGTTCATATAAATTGGTTTTATTTGTATAACAACTTTACATAATGGGCTTGAATAAGTTAACCTTCAAGTGTAGCAAGTAGAGGAAGCACTTTTGATTATTTAAAATACAAGGGGCTCTGCTCCCTGCTCGCTTCGTTCGCCGCTTTTTTTTTATTGCCCACTCATCCCCTCACGAAAAGCTAAGTAATTTTTCATTCAATGTAACCAGTGCATATGCAGCAATCCTCTCTTTTCAAAATAAATTGTACATATACATTTATTTAAATTAATCCTTCATACCTTGCTACGACATATTTTAATCATTTTCTTAAAAAAATGAATAAATTGTAATTAATTTGCAATATTGTATTTGCGAACTGATAAATTATTTTTGTACATTTTACCTGAAATTTAAATTATTAATTAAATTATTTAGCTAAAATCCTGTTGTTTCAGCACCTTGCCGGCTTTACCACATTTGTTTTGTCTTTTCATTCATATTCGGAGATTAATAGAAAATCGTCATGAAAACAATTGAATTATTTTTGGTTCTACCTCAAATTTTTGTCTTTGAAAGCTTGAATACCCCAGTTCACCGACAAAGCAGGCAAATATATTATACATGACGTCGATTACCGGTTTATACGAGCTTATTTATTCAAATTGATCAAATCGAATTTCTTTCCGCTTTCAACAATATGGCTAATTTTTTTCCGTAGGGATCGATCCGAGAGGTGCACACGGCTGCGGTCAACAACGATTTGGAACTGCTGCTCGCGAGGTCGGCGGAACCCGTGCCGAAGGACATCCTTATGAGCAAAGACGCAAACGGACTCACGCCCCTGCATAAGGTAAGTAGGATGCTATTTTATGAAGCCATTTATGAACGATCCGGTTCGTCTGTCTTTTCAGGCTGCAGGCTTGGGAAACATGGAAATCGTGCAGGAAATACTGCGAAGAGCACCAGAGGCGGTGAATGCCAAAGACAACATCGGCAGGACGCCGCTTCATTACGCCGCCGGTTTGAGAGATAGGAACGCCATGTACCAACATCTCGTTGATGCCGGGGCAATTGACCACCTCGAAGACAAGGTTCTTAGTTTAAATATCTCATTCGAACCATTGTTGACTGTTGGATTTTTTTCAGAAAGGTAACACCCCTTCCCACTACAAAGGTAAGCCGAGCGAGCTCGAAGGGCCCCAATACTTGTCTGTGATACCCAACGCACCTCGGACGGCACACATTTTTCCTCCGTCTTGGGATTGGCGGCTCCTTACAACGAGCTCTGACGCGGAAACGGCGAGCACGGCGACTTCCCCTCAGATCGAGACGATCGTGAGTAATCTTCTCCAGGCTTGTTGTCGGCCGAATATATATAAAACACATCAACATGATGCTTGTCATGTTGCACGTCATGCTTTACACGCAAGTGAGAACAAAACATCTCAATCGATAAAACCCTATTCCGTTCGTTTTGTTTCTTCTCAGACAGGACTGAAGGAGAGAAATGAAGTAATACCCATTTACCGAAAGTTGTTCCACACGTCATTTTAACTTAATTGAGTCACCATAGATATTCATGAATTATTACTATATATGCCTACAGGATCAAGAGGAATAATGAAATAATGATAATTAGCACACATTACGCATAAATACACTGTTCTGAGCATTTAACTAAAGATCATTAGAACGATACATAGGGGGTGTTCGGCTATTCGTGTTACAAACTTTGCTTGTAGATTCTAGATTTAAAATAGAACCAAAAAGTCCTAATTAGTTGTGGTCCGAATCTCAACAGTTTCGTAGTTATTCCCCTTTTTCTGATTTTTTAAGATTTGACAACCTACTTCAAATAAACAATGATAACTCCAAAACAGAAAAAGGAGAACAAATCCGTTGATACGGTTGAAAACTACGTTAAATTTCCTATAAAATGTGATTAATATTAATCTTGTAAACGTTGGTGAAATAAGCATTTTAGTAGCCAAAACTTTGAAAGATATATATTTTTTTAATGTTATAAAACTTACTATGGTGATTCTAAACTACTATTTCCAAGCCTAGCATATTTCAGAAAACATACTCCATTTAATATCCTTTTGAGTGGTGCAATTTCTTGTTTAATTACATTTTCAAAGTTGAAGAAATTGATGAAGGAGAGATAAAAACCGTGGTTGACGGATTGGAAAGGTCGAAAGATTAAAAAAAATGAAAAACTTGAGGCAATTTTGAATGAATTTATTAAACGTTTTTTTATTTGAATTCGAACACGAAATAGTGTACTTGTTTATTTATTAACCAACACGACTGCAACTTTGATTAAAGGATTATTCCCCGGAATGAAAGAATTTTGAGATTCAAAACGTTTTTAATTCATTCATTCAAAATTTCCATAAGTTTTTTATTGTTCATTATTATTAATCTTTCACCTTATCAATCCGTCAACTACGGTTTTTCTTTTCTTCATCAATTTCTTCATCTTTGAAAAAGTAATTACAAAGAAATTACACCACTCAAAAGGATATTAAATGGAGTATGTTTTCTGAAATTTGCTGGTCGCTAGGTTTGGAAATAGTAGTTTAGAATTACCGTAGTAACTTTTCAACATTGATAAAAGAATTATTTTTTAATGTTCTGGTTACTAAAACGCTTATTTCACCAAAGTTTACACGTTTAGTATTGATCACATCTTATTGGAAATTCAATGTAGTTTTCAATGGTATCAACGGATTTGTCCAAAATCTTTTTAGTTTTGGAGTTATCATCGTTAATTTGAAGCAAGGTCGTGAAATCTTAAAAAATCACAAAAAGAGGATTTACTCTGAAACTGTTGAGATACGGACCATAGTTAATTAGGACACTTTGGTTCCATTTTGAATGTAAAATCTACTGGCAAAGTTTGTAACACGAGATAGTCTAACATCCTGTATATGTAATACATATCGCACACTTGCAACGGAAGTGACACAACTCAACAAAAGAAAATTTTACAGGAGAAACAAATGGAACTTTTTTTTTACTTTCGAATTAAATACACACCATTATTGTTGTTGACAAAGAAAACACATGATCCATCAATTTTGTCTTTCGTTTCTCCAAGGATTAAGCAAAAACACAAAAGTTAAAAATCTAACTGTACTACCCCCTATTGAGGTGTGACACTTTTCTTGCATATATTGGCTCTCAGTAATTTAATTTTCTTTGCCCTAACGATAATGCTGGCCAATGAATGACTGTAAGGGTATTAATTTCTTTGTGGTAGAAACAGACAACATACAAACCTAACAAAAGAGCATAAATACCCATGTAGTAAGTTTTCCTAAAATTATTATTGACCCAAATGTACTTTTTTCGTGGAGTCAGGATTAATTATTTATTTAAAATACAAAGTTAATTATTGAAGAATAAATTATTATAATAAAGGTTTTATCCATTATTAAAAATATTGTAATTAAAACATTAAAATAATTCGTTGAAACTATGAAATAAGTAAAAGTTAAAAAAAATATTAAAAAATTACGAAAAGAAAAACAATATTATAATTAAGAATGCTATTAAAATAAAAGAAATGAAACTGAAAAAGAAATTAATAATTCACGAACACTCTAGATCAAGATATGGTCTTGAAGAAAAAAGCAAATACATTTGTTACTTTAAGGTCATCAGGGCTTATATTAATTTCACTTTACGACAAACATGTTTGTACAATTGATTTAACAATTGTTTTTCGTAATGTGAAAATGTGACCCCGGTACAGCATAAAATTCTTCACTAAACAAGAAGAAAACTGATTTAATGCGAAATATGTCACTTTTCCTGATAAATACTCACACCGATGCTTTTTCGTGCAAACTTTAATAATAAAAACCTAAATGTTAAGCAATATTTAAATAATGTCAAAAAATTATAATACATAATATTACCTTGTACCTTTTTGAACTATTACATTGTTCTATTTTTTTCTTCTTATATAGTGAATTTATCTGTATCTATTCTGTCCATAATAATAATTGTTTTACAAGTACAAGTCTTTTTTTTAAATAGTTTTCTTTAAGACAATTGATATACTTTATTAATAATAGAATCTTCGTGGAATACCTACCTAGAATTGACCATACACTACTAAATATTTTTTCTTTATAGTCAAAATTCAACACGAGTTCAAGTGCTAATGTTGATACCCTGCATTATTATCTAAGGAATTTTCAAAACTATACAACAAAAAAAAATTGTAAGAAATGGCTAGGTTAAACGCCAAATTATATGCCTGACTTAAATTCAATGTCTAAAACTTAAATTCGTTCGTATGTATCCGCAAATATTTGCTGTTTTAGTAATAATGTTGTTTCAAAGATTTTTAACCAATTTAATCTGCTTATAATTTAAAAAATTTGTGATTTGCTATTATTTTACTTTCAGCGAAACATAAATGATGAAAAAATAACTAAAGAAGAGGAAGAATTAGCACCAAAAATAGACGATGATGAAGAGATGGAGCAAGCAAGCGAAACACCCGAAGTGGAATCGGAGCCTGTCCTGGATCCTGAAACCGCACAAAGCGAGCCTGCTGAAGCTGAGGCCATGAGACCCGAAATGTCAGAAGACGAAGGTGTCGGGTCTGAGTTTCCAGCGTCGGCAGGGGATACGCTGTCTCCAGAGAGTGACGTTACGAACGGTAACTACCCATCCCCCTCACCAGCACCGCCCAAACACATCCCATTTCACTCGTTTGCGATTGTCTTTTATGTGTTCTGTGTTGTACAGCACTTGTGTTCCAGCACGGCAACGTTTCTTGAGATCCTCGTTCACGGCCTTCTGTTATCGCGAGAGATGCCACTTTCCTGAAGATCACGGACGACGGCTCTCTCGAAACGTTCCCTCCAGGCACCCTTGTGCGTCCAGTTACTGTCACCTATGGGTCTCTAGCGGACATGTTTCTTCTTTTCAGAAGAGGACGTCCGGGAAGATGAGTTGTCAGGAGCCAAACTAGGGGAGACGTTCACATTGACAAGGAGTTTATTCGGCGGGCGGGGTCACAGGGGCGGGAATTTAGGCGATTACGATAGCGGCAACGAAGACGTACAAACAGAAAGCGAAGAAACTTTCGGCGAAAAAATCAATCACGATTTTGTTGAAGATGTCGGAGAATTGAATGAATCAGATCAAATCGGAATTTTAGAGCTAAACGAGAGAAGGAACGAGTCAAGTTCATCATTGGCTTCACAAAATAATGAAATAGAAGATATTTTTAAGAGACCGACGAGTGGACAAAGAGAAAGTATTAGTAGGCCCATTTCGGGTACGAATATAAAAATGTCTGATGAAGGAGAAAATAGCAGGCCGTCAAGTAGACAAATAGAAGGTAGTCCAAGTGATTCTATACGTGAGCAAATGGGAGGAAGGTCGAACATACCGTTAAATGGTCAAATGGAGGGAAGATCCAGAAGAACTACTCGTGGAAGTAACTCAATCAGTCTTATAAATGGACCAACCACTGGCCAAATCGCTAGGACTTCTAGCAGACCAACTGGTGGACAAATGGAAGGTAGCTCTAACGGATCAACAAGTGGTGAATTAGTAGAAGGAATATCTGGGACGCCTTTTAGAGAACGAATGAATAGCAGTAGACCATCAAGTGGACAAATAGACGAAAGATCCAGCATACTAATTAGAGGGCAAAGTGAGCGTGATTCCGATAGATTAGGTAGTGCGGAAGGAAGTTCCAGTGAACCAATAAATGGGCAAGTTGAAGATAGCTCCAATATACCAATTAGTGAGCAAATGGAAAGCAGTACCGACAGGCCAACAAGTGGGCAAATGGAAGGAAGCGGACCGTTTAGTGGGCGAATGGAGAATAGCTCCAGCAGACCAATAAGTGGACAAATGGAGGGAAGATCCAGCAGACCAATAAGTGGGCAAATGGAGAATAGCTCCAGCAGACCAATAAGTGGGCAAATGGAGGGTAGGTCGAGCAGACCAATAAGTGGACAATTTGAGGGTAGGTCCAGCAGACCAATAAGTGGACAATTGGACAGAAGATCCAGCAGAACAGTCGATGGGGAAATGGAGGGAAGATCCAGCAGACCAATTAGTGGGAGTACAGAGGGTAGTTCTAGCAGTCCAATAAGTGGGCAATTTGAAAGTAATTCCAGTAGACCAACTAGTGGGCAAATTGGAAGATCAAGTGGACCAATTAATGCACAATTTGAAGGAACATCCAGTAGACTAATTAGTGGGCAAATAAATAGTAGCTCTAGTAGACCAGTAAGTGGACAAATGGATAGTAGCCTCAATCGACCATTTAGTGGGATGATGGAAGATAGTACGAACGGAGCACCACTTGATCAGAGGGGAATGAATGACACAAATAGAGAAGGCTCCAGCCAATCGAGAGAAACTTCCAGACCAACCTCGACAACTATGAATAGCGATGAAAGCCGGCCATCAAGCACCATAAATCAAAAAGAATCTAGTGATGTTGTAAACGACAATGATAATGATGAGTCAGAAGATCAAGATAGCTTAAATCAAAATACAGAAATGATATCGCGCCAAATTGACAATAGCACTGAATCAAACCCAAATACTGAAACAGAGAGCAGGCCATCCATTTCAGGTCAGTCCAGCAGGCCAGGCACCGGCCCGTTTCAGGCCAATGGTTCTAGAAGCGCTCAGGGAGATTCTGGAAGCGAAGAAGAAGCAGAGACGCCTGAAAGAGTATTGACCGCCGGCGGAAGCAGAGCGGAAATTCTTGCGATAACCCCTGCCCCACCTGAAGTCGGAGAGGATAGCGATACACAGAAGGCCGTTGAAGAACAAATATCAGGTGCGATATTCAGCTACTAAATAAATAATACTAAAAAAATCTAAACCCTAATATTCAAACTCTTAAAATATCCATGTCACAAATTAAACCAATTTATTAAATTAAAAAACCTAAACTTTAAAATAAAACATTATTATAAAATAACAAATAAAAATAAACATACATTTTAACATTTGTAACGTTAAACAAATAAAACAGAACGCTGAAATAATTGCTACCTGTTGTAGGAGGCTTTTTTTGTAATTAAGACAAGCTTTTGATCCTTACTTCTTTCAGATTCGAAAATCAAAAGTGAGTACAACTTTAGGCAGACTAATTAAACCAATTTATAAATTTTATCAACACACTTCTTTAATATGTTTTTCACTTTTCTATAAAAATGTAATTTAATTAGAATTATTTGTTTCCCAGTTGTATTCACTTTTTAAAAGTTTTGTTATTATAAATGAGGCGAAATAATTTCCGCTGAATGTAAAATGCCATCTCTTTCTAGTTCATGGTAAGCCATGCTTAAGCCAGCGCATGTTGCATTGAAATCTGTTTACTGTCGATACATAAATTCGTTCTTAAAACCGGAATTAAAACTGAAAAATATCAATGGGAATAAGTAAGACTCACTCATATCTAAAATACTTTCAATTGTGCGATTTCGTGTAGTATTTGGCATAACGAACCATTTGGTCTTTACCATTTTGGTGTGCCCATATTCGCTGGATTGGTCTGTCAAACGCATTTCAGCATTTATGTACAGTGGTGGGTTTGTATGATGGTTTTTCAAGCCAGACTTCATAATAATAAAAATAATAATAATCATTAATAAAAAAATACAGAAGAAAACTAGTGTAAAGATAGCAATAACGGCACAAGAATTATATCATTTTAATATTACGCTTAATTAAAAACTAAAATATATTTAATTTACATTGCTTAATATGATAGACAATAATACAACACAATATAAAAATTAACGATTAAATTCTTTAAATAAATGATATCTGTAACGCCAAGCGGAGCGGGCATAATTTACTAGATTCAAACTATCTACAGTTCACTAATTTCGTGGTCCGCTTGACCAATTAAATCATTACAATTAATTAAGGTTTTTAGTTGAGATGAAAAAAAGTTAACGGCACGAGAGGGATTCGAACCCACGACCTTCGGCTAGATATGCCGCTGCTCTACCACCTGAGCTATCGTGACCTCGATCCACTCGGACATCAACTCCCCATCTCAACCCCACCTTATGAGTTTTCCCTCCTTTTGCCATTTTTCAAATGTCGTGTAATCGGTTTGGGTTCTCGACGACAATTGAAATGGCGACGGAGAGCTTTAGTGAAGGGTACTTCATTTTGGTTCATTAATTAACTAATTTCGTGGTCCGCTTGACCAATTAAATCATTAATTGAAAAATGGCAAAAGGAGGGAAAACTCATAAGGTGGGGTTGAGATGGGGAGTTGATGTCCGAGTGGATCGAGGTCACGATAGCTCAGGTGGTAGAGCAGCGGCATATCTAGCCGAAGGTGAATTCTGTTAACACTGGACATGTAGCAAAAAAATCTACAAATAAAATAAAAAAATAAATAAAAATAAACTTTTTGACCTCTTTACGACAGTTTTGGATGGATTATATTGGTTGGTATAAACAAATTATCCATCGCGGAACATCCAAGCCAATATCTGGCATGATATTCACTCAGAAGGCAGTTGCCCTTTACAAAAGTATCTAATCGTTTCAGAAGTAATCCCGTGAAAATTTTGGCTATACCAATGCACGAAATTCCCCTCTAATTGGATACGTCATTGATATCGCCCCTCTTAAATAAGGGAAACATGATGGACCTATCAAATGATGGTGGAGTTAAATCATCTTTATAAATGCAATTAAATAAATATAATATATATTAAATAATATTTCATGGGAATATTTATAAAACTCTGAATTAAGGCATAATAACAGTGCTTTGTTATTCTTTAAATAAAAAAATTGCTGGTCAACATAGTGAACAATTAAGATATGTGAAGGAGGATTAAAAATGAGATATCCATACACAATTCCTACAGACAAATCGTTTGTTTTTGATTGATTATAATTTTGCCATAGCCCTTTAAAGTCTCGAACTGAACGACAATTAAAATATTTTTTCTTTTTTTAACTAAATTCTATTTTTGAATCAATACATTATAAATGTGCCATTGTAAATTATAAAATGTGTCATAAATTATAAAATGTGGATTGAATTGAGACTCACTGAAGACAGCGAAATGCCGAAATGCATCTGACGGACCAACCCAGCCAAATTATTCTAAGCCGGTTAAAATTATCAAGACGACCAAAATTATAAATGTCTAATAAATTTACTATACGAGGGGCGTCGATGGGTACAACGGTTAAGGCGTGACGCGGCGCTCATTACTAAGGTAACGATCCCGGGTTCGAATCCACGGCAAACCCTACATACTTACAAATGAGCTTTTCTCAAAAACACCGTCACCCCAAGAGTTGGTATGACATCTGCAGTTGTAACCCTCGTAAAAAAATTATTAGCTGAAATGGATCTATATTTTCCTTCGTTTGATAGAAGACACGTAATGATTTTTTAAAGCGAGAATGAGTGGGTGAATATGATTACGGATGATTAAACAGCGGACAATTTTTATGTTGTATAATTTTTATTGTTAACAATTTGCATACCAACCAAATTATTATGATTATTATTGGAAACGATCTTTACCTATAGGCCTACTTGTTTAGCTTATTTAAAATATTAATAAACAAATTAAAATTGTGGAAATTTTTATTTTATAGGCACGTTTTTTATTGCTTATATATTAATTTTCTTCGTTCTTTTATATTATTAATTAATAGATAGATAGACATAGTACAAATCAAATTATTGATTTGATTTAATTGTTAGCATTTTTTCAACTTCTCAAAAGGTTTCTTAAAAACTAGATTTAGCTTTTACATTTCATTTTTTCAAATTTGTTTTTGCTCAACTGTAACTCAAGATCTACAAAAAAAATTGTATGAAAATCAAAGTTATAAAATACTTTTAAAAAACCTTTTGTTTTTCACCAAAAAAAAGAAGAAAACTCTAGAAATATGAATAGGTTTATAATTGAAGAAAGCCGCAAATTGTTCTAAGCGTTTACAATAAAATTAAAATTAAAACTATTTTCTAGTCTACTTTCAAGCTGGTATTGGGGAAAGTCATTAATCTTTGGGAATTTGAAATTTCAGAAGATATGTAATAACGGACGATACAGATTAGTTACTAATCTTCAAACACATTGATTGTGAGATGTTTTTATTTGGACGTGCTTAACATTTCTCTTAGACAACATAATTGATTAAACAATTAGTTTAATAACACAAATGTAAAATTTTATAAGCTGTAAGACGTATTTTTGAGAAATATATGGAGTACTGAAACAGGTTGAAGGAAGGCAGCAATCGGTAGTACTGTTAAATAATCTAGAGGCCTAAATTAGACAACGTTCCTAGAAACGAACAAACAACAATAAAATACTTAAGAAAGTCAATCGATTGCTCCTCTTCTACTATTCTCCCATTGCCAGAAACAGCGGCCAAATTAAAAAGTTGGCATTTGTGTGACTATTTGTTGAAAGTCGATGGCCAAGGTCTTGGACAGCGATTGGCCGCCCTTCCTAACGCGACCTTTAAAAGTTTCCTTGTTTTCTAGAAGAGGAAAAGCAGCTTGCCGAGGAGTTGGTCAAGACTGGTGATATGGAAGCGATGGCTGAAATGGTGCTTGCAGGGCAAGGATCGGCCCTTCTGGGCCTCACCAGCGATAACCCGGATGTTCAACTCTTTATAAACAACGTCCCGCAATACATGGTGAGTGGTTCAATCCGACCCTTCTGTTATTTTTATAATAATAATTTAACTTTTGATTCTACCTTAAACTATTTCTACTATCGGAGACTAGTTTTTGAAACATTGAAACCTAAATCCTTAAATGTAACTAATTCGAAAGATAGGGACATTCAATGGTTGAACATTTTTTTTAATTTATCAAAAACAAAACAAATTGTTGAAATATTTCATCGATTTGAGGTGGTTTTCTGATTTGCCGAGGACAAAAATAACTCTTATGTTGAAAACACACAAAAGGGGGTCAAAACCCACCGAACTAACAGTCTGTGCTCATTTAGAAAACACCCGGATGGGAGACTGGGTGGAAGATATTCTTTGAGAAGATCAAGGTAAGTTTTTATCTTAGATTATAGCCTGTTAGAAGAAATTATATATTTGTTTAATATCGAACAACTCTGAAGCTTTGAACAAATCAAAAGACGCTAAAACGCGATTGGGTTAAAAATACATGCATAACTGATTTATTATTTTATATGCAAATTATGGTTGAATTGAAAATTTAGTATCACGAGCGAGACTCGAAATCAGTGCCCCGGATCAGGAGGTCGTGGGTTCGAGTCCCGCTCTTGGCACTAATTTTTCAACTCAAACCATACTTTGCATAAAAAATAATAATACAATTAAAATAATTACTTTGGTTAATAGGACCAACTAAAACATGTATACATGTATTAATATAAATAACTAAGAACTAAAAACTGAATATATTTAATCAATTTACAAATATTTTTACCAGTGGGAAATGTTTATACAGGGTAAAGGACACACTGTATAGGTGTCCAGCTGAATTTCTCTTGAACAGATAACATTATCGAAAAACCAAAAAATACGTATACGTCAATATTTTTTAGTCTAGTTTTCTACTGCTTTTTTAAAATGTTTGTTCCCAAGAGCTTTGAACGACTTTGAAATTGTAAATGAAAACGTATACTTCTTACCCATTGTTTTAAAAGATTGTTTTACGCTTAAAACTATGGCACATTCAAATTTTAAATTGGTCAAAGAATGACAACGTTATGATACAGAATGTGAAAAAATATACCTTAATATCATTTTTATTAACAAGTTTTTCATTTGCTGTTTTGGTGCTAGTCGATTTTATGAAATTCTGGGGATGATATTGACGGGTCTTTCGTTCCTGTTTGATTGATGGTCAAAACATATTTTTTTAAATGCTACAGTGTACAAAAAACGTGCGTATCCACTGCTAGCAGACCCATCAACAACATCCCAAGAAATTTAGTTCAATCAGTTCCCGCTCCATTAGAATGTTTTATTATTTTATGTTTATTAGGTACTTTGTTTTGTTTTTCACGCGGCTTATTGTTAACAATAATCTATTTAAAAACAATACACAGAATTTTTATTAAAATTAACCAACAATTTACTTATTGAAAATAATAATAAAAACGAAATAAAGGTTCTTTTCACATTCTTGCCATAACTTTGTTGTTGATCAATTAAAATCTGATTGCACCATCGTTCCTTTAAAATTTCAAAGTTGTACGAGCTCAGAAGTATCCTGACAACAGATATTTTTAAAAAGCAGTAAAAATTTAAAGGTAGACTAAAAAAATAGTAGATACGTATTGTTCGGTTTTTCGATGATTTTATCTGTTCAAGAGAAATTCAGCCGGGCCATTTTTAAAAGAAGATTCAGCGTACTCCACACACACACGCGCGCCCACACACACACTCTCTCTCTCTCTCTCTCTCTCTCTCTCTCTCTCTCTCTCTCTCTCTCTCTCTCTCTCTCTGCATCACACTACTCAAACAGGCAAAATAAATAATTGTGAGGAAAATTTTCAGTTACTTTCATCAATCTTGAAAAACTTGAAAAAACTGTGCTGTGATATTTTAGTCGTTCATTTATTCTATCTCTTCTTTGTCTTTCGAACGCCTTCCCTTGTATATCTCTTTCTTTCTGATTTTCATGTTCATTCATTTTTTCTGATTTACGACTTGTTAGAAAGCTTAAAGCATTGGCAAGAGAGTAAAAATGTGAGAAACTCTACTACTCTAAGAGGCAAAAAAAATGGCCACTCTTAATATTTTTAATTATCTGTTGGACGATCCTCCATTAATTGTTTTACAACTTTGGGTCTGTTTCAAAGGGTTAGAAGTAAATAAAACATAAATAAAATCTCCCACTTGTGTTTACAATTGGATTTTCTAAATAAATCTTTGAATAGTCAATATATCTTTTTTTCTGTAAAGCTTCTTTCTAACGTTCCGGTGGTTTGACTTTTTTTATGTTGTATCATTTTTAAGTTTCAAATTTGTTTGAGTGGTTTTAAGTGACACTGATTCGTCTAGAATTATAGCATTATTGGAAGATGGGAAAGGTCAAGCGTATGTGGCCAGGGTGCTTAGCACTTCAGAAAAACTGCCCGAAGGTTCTTCTATCGCTAGCACGATCCTAGAGGTTATTCAAGAAGGCATCGATTAGGGTAGGCCATCGTGTCACTCTCAGAGAGATGATCGTTTTATTGTTTCGAATGTAGTCCGTAATCGACATTCTACCGTGTTGAGATCAAAAAACGACTCAACAAGTTAGAAAAGTTTATGACAATTTATGCGAAGACTTTCGGACGCTGGATTACTTAAAGCCTGCCTCTGGTCCAGAACTTCTGACAAGGCACAGCTCGGTTAAGTTTCGCAAGAAATCGCGTCAATAGTTTTGAGCAAGATTGGACTAAAATCTTGTTTCCTGATGAGTCAAGGTATTGTTTGAGAGAGGGTTTGGAGAAGAACAGAAGAGCGATATATTCCCGCAAATTTTTCACTCCGGAGAAGCTATCGAGGTGGTGGTGTTATGGGTTGGAGAGGCATTTCTATGGAAGTTCGCCCAAACTTGATGTTCATCGAGGGTTCCCTAAGCGCGAAACATTAAATGTTATCAGAAAAAAAATGCTCCTCGTTGGCGACGATTTTATTTTTATCCATGGCAATGCGAGGCCCCACACAGCTATGGAACCGGCTCCCCCGACTTAAACCTTATCGAATACAGAGAACAAGGACGAGTTGTCAAAGAGAGTAAAAAGTCGCCCAAAGATGCGAGAGAATTTTCAGGAATTATTGAATAGCCCTGTTGGAGGAGTACGAAAATATTCAAAACCTCATAAAATCGATGCCACGTTGAATGCAAAGGTTGAGGACATACTGAATTGAACATTTTCTTCATTGTTTCCATAGCAATATTTTTGGTAAAATTGTTTTACTGAGTTTAATTTTTATTTATTTTTTAAAACTATAGCTAATTTTTTTCTTGAAAAATCCAGTAAATAAAAAAAAAGTGAAACAATTTTATAAACAAATAACGCAACTGTATTCTTTCTAATATGGATATGTTTCAAATACGTGTAAAATTCGCTCAAACATGTTTAAAAATCAACAAAACCAAAGCAAATACAATATTGTTAGAACTAAACATATTATGTAAGGATTCGATTAAATATTCAAGGGTGTAATATTATTTTAGACAAGATATTATAGATTTTGAAATATATTAAACGTGGTGATTTATTAACGTATTTAAACAAATTCTGTAGTAAAGTTTGAATAGTGTATTAATTATTTTATTACTATTTAGATTAGCATGTGGAGAGTAGTTATTGCTTTGTTGTAAAGGCAGCAATAGTTTTTAAATAGTGCGATAAACTAAATAAATCAAATTATATAAAATACTATTATACTGTTCAAGTTCTCGTATCAAAAGTAGTTCTTTAGTCAAATAAACGAATTAGCTAAACGGTGAATTGTTACTAAAAAAGATTACCACCAAACGCACCTTTTTACGAATGAAAAAACTAAAATCTTTATACAATTCCAGGATCTAGAGACCTAACGGTTGGAAAGACGGAGTCAAAACGATTTAACATACCTAAAAATTGTTATGTAGGCACAAGTGAATAAAAAGATTCTATAGAAAAAAAGGAAAATTGTTTTTTAAGCCCCTTTATGTAACAAATATCCATCGTGACAAACGATAATTGTCGAATAAACCAAAATAATAGGGTGAGGAAATCAGATAAATCAATGAAAATGAATAGCCTAGAACGATATTTATGACAGTTAGCACAAAGTCAGAAGTAAAATCTGTGTACGATTTAGCTTCCTACATTGTCTCAAATTAATATTTATCTTATATAGTTAAAACCAGGTGTTGTTTAAAATAGTTGGTTAGAAAATAACGTTAGCTCTCTCTTAATACGACAATTGGAATCAATAAACCTGAAAAACACGTCTATTATTAACAACTACGCAATTATATGCTTACTTTTTAAAAAAAGTCATTTTAAATGGTTTATTAATTTTGGATAGACAAAACAAGGTTAAAATTGATTTTTTACTGTTTTGAGACGTTTTATTCTCGTTAAAAGAATAACATCAGTAAGCCATAAGCTAGAAGTTAGAAAACTAGAATTTCTGAAAAAATTATGAAGTTCCGTCAGTTTAAAAATGAAAATTTTATAGGTAAAAGAGTAAGCTCAGAAACTCTTAAACGTGTCGAACTAGAGTTTAATTTAAACAATCTTCTGAAAATATGTTTTAAACCAAGAGTGTCTTTACTGATTACTGATTTATATTAGCTCAAATCTGCACGCGCGTGTACAAACAAGAGCACTTCTTGCAGTCGAACTGCAATTCCAGCTTTTGTAATTTACAATAAGTTACTGAAAGGCCTTGGAAACACCACCTCGGGTGTTGGCAAGCCGGGATCAGAACTCAGTCTTGTCCATTCAGCCCGGAGGTTGGGCTCCAGGGGCTACCTACGTCATTTCATCCCCAACGCAAACAGTTCCTAAATCCATTCACACTCTCATCCAATCATGAATATATTTTTACTTATTTACATAACATTCACTCGGTTGCAAATGGAGTGGTCGATATTGCTCCATCTCACTTAACACTTATTATATAACTAACCTAATTGAATGTAAATGAATAGTCATTAGTCC